GAATGGGTCAACTCAGATAAACTTCCCTAGAAGTGTTTTTTGACATTGAGACTGAAAGGTATTTTTGTTGTTTAGGAAGGAGAGTCTTCTGGAAAGAGGAAAGCTGAAGATGATGATAAAGCAAATAAAAAGCACAAGAAGTATGTGATCAGTGATGAAGAAGAAGAGGATGACTGAAGTACAAACTGTGAATGCATTTTATATATTTATTGTACAGCTTGTCTATAAATACGATGTAAACATGAGTTATTTTGATTCAGATTAATTGATTTGTGTTTGTGAAAATTTAATTGTAATAAAACATTTAAAAGCAAACCCCTATGCTTAAGAAATCTGCTTTTCAGGGGGGGAGGGAGCAAGTTGATTTTGCAAGCATCTTACAGAGTCCAGGTTCAGTGAATTTCTGCTGCTCTGCCGCCCCATCCTCTCATCCCACACAAAGAAGCCTCCAGGGCAAGACAGAGCAAGGCGCTCTCCTCTCACACAGAGTTCGTAGAGTACAGGGACCTCGCCCCCCAGTAATTCGTTTCCTTGGTCTGCCCTAACAGAAGATCGCAAAGTTGGTTGGCTTAAAACAGTTAAACTGGGCTAGAGAGATGACTCAGCAGCTAAGAGCACTGGCTGCTCTTCCAGAGACCAGGATTTGGTTCCCAGCACCCACACAGCGGCTCACAACCACCTGTGATCTCTATCCCAGGGGTTCCTGTGTCCTCTCCTGGTCTCCTTGGGCACCGGACATGCACATAGTGCGCAGACATACATGCTGGCCAAACACCCAAATTCATAAAATTAAAAACTGTAGGAATACACTCTCAGGCTTCAGGAGACGAAGGTCTGAAGTAAAGGAGAGTGCGGAGCCACACTACCTCCCAGAGCCTCCCTCTCCGTTTCTTCAGCTTTGGCTTGTGGTGGTGAGACACCCCTGCATGCTGTCAACATCCGTGCTTTCCCGGGCGCCTGTCCCAGGTCTTTAAACCACGCTCTGTCGTCAAGAACAGAACCCATAGCGCCAATCCAAACCAACCTGTCCCCATTTTAACTGACTATCTGCAGAAACCTATCCCAGGCAAAGTCAAATTCAAAGAAAAATCCTGCATCACCATCACAACTCTTTCCTATCTTAAAATGTAAGTTCTTGTATATTTTGTGGCTTACTGAGTTGGAACTCCCGTGCCTAGCATTAGAACCCTTACTTGCTTCCATCCTTCCTAAGGCAATGTGTGCCCGTGTGTGTCCCCCCCCCAATGTGGAAGCCCATTTGTGATGCTGTGCTCGCCTTTACCAGCCAGGCCCTGTTGGGGGCGCCATAGGGAGACTGCGAGGCTGGATAGCGAAGGAGAGACTTGCTCCTTCCTGTTTGCTCCTGGGGGCTTCAGGGGGCTTCCTGTTGGCTTGGAGTTTCTGTGAGGGGTCCACCATCAGTTCTTCACCTCAGGAGCGGCAGTTCTTCCCACAGCAGCGGAGTCTGGTGCAGCGTGTGACTAGGAAAAGCACCTCCTTAGACCCCAGAGTCATCAGGACAGTGGACAGCTCTTTCCTCAGGTGTGAGGGGGCTTTTAAAAGTCTGTGCCTGTCTCGCTTTGCAGCCCTCACAGGCTGACCTCACGCTGGAAGTTCTCCTGCCTCAGCCTCCAGAGCTCAGATTCCCGACGAGCCTGGCGCCTCGGGGCCACTGTCGAGCTATTTTAAGTTTGGTTTGGGGGAGGGTATTTTGTTTGGTTTGGTTCTTGAGACAAAGTCTTACTCTGTAGTTTAGGATGGCAGTCCTGCTCCTGTCTCCCAAGTGCTGGGATTACTCGTGTGACCCCCCATACCTGGCTAAATGTTTACATTCTACTGTGTTTTCTCAGGTCTGGAGTTGAAAGTTGTTCTCTGTATTTAGCTGTCTTTCTGATTTTTTTTTTTAACCTAACAACTTTAAGCTTAATTGTAACTTTTTTGTTGTTGTTTCTCCCGTGGAGACAGGGCTTGTCTGGGTAGCCTTGGTTGTCCTGGAATTCACTCAGTAGATCTACCTGCCTCTGCTTCCCGAATGCTGGGATTAAAGGCATGTGCCTCTACCATCTGGCTGCCTAATTTTTTAAAAATATTTTATTTATTTATTTAATATGTATACAATCTTCTGCCTGCACGCCAGCAGAGGGCATCAGATCTCATTCAAGGTGGTTGTGAGCCACCATGTGGTTTCTGGGAATTGAACTCAGGACTTTTGGAAGAACAGTCAGTGCTCTTAACCGCTGAGACATCTCTCTAGCCCCATGGCTGCCTAATTTTAACTTCAAGTGTATTAGATTTTATTTGTTTTTAAATTTTTATTTATGTAGGCAGTGTTTTTGCTATATGGCCCAGGCTGTCCTTGAATTGTTTTATTTTGTTTTGTTTTCCATTTGTATTAAGCTCCTGATCACTAGGATTACAGGCATGAACCACATCATGGTTTTTTATTTTTATTTTTTGAGAGTGTTCTCAGTATGTAACCTAGCCTCCAAACTTGACAATCCCTCTGCTTCACCTTCCTGAGTGCTGAGATTTTAGGTGTGCTACCATGTCTGGTTTGCTGACACATTTTTTAGTAAGAAAACAATTTAGGAAATGTTTATAGTATTTAAATTTTTTTCTGTAAGGATAAAATAGGGCTTATATTAAGTATGCCCAGCTATAAAAACCCAATGGAGCCTCTGGACCTCAGGTTTTTTAAAATTTATTTTTATTTTTATGTACATTGGTGTTTTGCCTGTATGTATGTCTGTGTGAGGCTGTCAGATCTTGGAGTTACAGACAGCTGTGAGCTGCCATGTGGGTGCTGGGAATTGAACCCTGGTCCTCTGGAAAAGCAGTCAGAACTCTTAACCACTCAGCCACCTCTCCAGCGCTGCCACCCCTTTTTTTTTGTTTTTCTTTTTTGAGACAGTTTTGCTGTGTAACCCTGACTGTCCTGGAACTCCCTCTGTAGACCAGGTTGGCCTCAAGCTCAGAGATCTGCCTGCCTCTGCCTCCTGAGTGCTGGGATTAAAGGCATTCGATACCTACCATGCCTTTAATTTTTAAATTCTTAAATTTTTTTTTTAGGTTTCTTAACTACCAGTTTGGTTTTCTTAAAAGAAATGGGCTGTTTTATTTCTTTAGTAAATTTTAGTGGTCTGTAATCATCAAATAACTGGGTCATTCTGTTTAAGCTGCTGAATTTGTTTATATTGTCCCCCTATCATTTTGAATAGCTTCGTTTTGTACACAGGTATTTGTTGTTGGCTTTTAGGAGAGCCGCTGAGATGGCTCAGTGGGTAAGGACACTTGCTGCCACACCTGATAACCTGTTTGATTTACGGAAGTCACACAGTTGGAGAGAACTGACTCCTTCAAGTTGTCCTCTCACCTCCATACATACACAAATAGATAAATGTGCCAAAGTATTTAAAATCTAGGATATGTTTCAGGGCTAGGATTTGGTTTTGCTTTATCAGCAGGCTGACCTGTTAGACTGTTTACTGTTTCAGGGTGCTAGTGTCCAGGTGCCCAGGTAATTAGTGTATGTGTGAAGCAGCGTCTGTCTGTCAGTCATGGCAATAGCATTGTTTTCCAGAGTTGACGAAGGTATACATTTGTTACAAAGGCTACAAATTTGACAGCAATTCTGGACAGTGATTATATGGGCAGAATATAGAGTCAGGTGGCCTCTTTGCCCCTGTGTCTCCTTTATGTTTTTATTGGACAGGTTGACAGTCACTTTCAAGGTGGTCATTGTGGTGCATCCGGTGAGTAGGGAGACTCAGCTCCCACTTTAAGCATTCTAAGACTGTAGGAGGTCACTTAGGATCCTGGAGAATAAAGAGAATGAGAAAAAATGTAGATGAGGGAGAAAGTGCTTCTTGGGTGACTGTTGGGTCTCTTTGCTGCATGAAAAATTATCCCAGTGCACAACATCGTAGAACAACAATAGCAATTTCTCCCCCAGATTCTATGGGTGAGGAGTGAGGTGGCTTAGCTCCGAGGTTCTGGTTCAGGCACTCTCACAGAACTGCCCTCTTTGGTTTTTTTTTTTTTTTGGTTTTTATGAGACAGGGTTTCTCTGTATTGTTTCGGAGGATATCGGTCCAGCCCGGCCTCGAACTTACAGAGATCTGCCTGCCCCTGCCTCCCGAGTGCTGGGATTAAAGGCGTGCACCACCACCACCCGGCAGAACTGCCCTCTTTGAAGGCCAGTCTGCTGCTCGAGGATCTGTTTCTGAGTTAGATCATACACCTCCTGTTTCTTATCACGTGGGTAGGAGTCCCAGTAGGCAATGGCATCTTCATAGCAAAGCAGCTGCTTTCTTCAGTGAGTGACCCGGACAGACAAGCAAGGCAGAAACACACACACACACACACACACACACACACACACACACACACACACACACAGAGCATTAATCTCAGCCCAGCTTTGGAACTGAGGCGATGGCTCGTTGGTCCCTCAGATCAACTGTGACATGATGGAGAGGACGCAAGAAAGGGTCACAATCAGTGGAGTCACTGTTTTAGAGACAGGGTCTCGTGTAGTCCAGGCTAGCCCCAAATGCTGGGATTAGAGGTGTGCACCACTATGCCCAGCTCTCTGGGAACTGTTCTCAAAGTGGTTACCCTGCTGGCTTCACCTCCTTCCTTCTCTGACTACATTCTGGTGACACTGCTAAAGGCCAGGCATGGAGAGCCAGCTGGAGGTTTGGTCTGTCGATACGGGAAATGTGTTGAGGAATTACGTAGAGAACTCTAGTTAGGGGTCTGGGAAAGCACTTGCTCTTGCAGAGGACTCAAGTTCAGTTCCCAACACCCATGTCGGCAGCTCACAACCGCCTGTAGCTCCAGCTCCAGGAGACCTGAGTCCCTCTTTGCCTCCACTGGGCACCTGTACTCATTTAATTATGTGCACCATGCACACAATTAAAAACAAAAATTTAAAAATAATTTGAGTTATACCAAATAATAATGTCTGTTCCCTCCACACTGAAGATTATAGTGGGAACATGGATCTGTTTGGAGATATAGATGACATTTCTTCAGAGAGCGATGAGGACCAGCGAACAGCTGTTCCAAGACAGCCTGTTGTGAGTACAGTCAACCAATCACATCTGATCACAGAATGGAAAGCTAGAAGAAAATGTTCAGAAAAGGTTTGTGAGGGTTTTGTCTCTTTGAGGGGGTGTTCATAGAGGACTAACCGTGTGGTCACATTCTTAGCTAAACTGGGCATCTGGGGAAACAATTAGAAGGCACAGGGAGAACCATGAGAATGAGGCCAATGCCAAACTTTAGGCACAGAGCTGAGACTCTTGACTTGCAAGCCTTTGATTTAAAAGGTCTTTCTTATTCCCAGCTGTGCTGTGCTATATAGGCAATGTTGATAATCCCTTCTGATTTTAGTCGTTACTTGGTAATGAAGGGTTGATTTATACTTCTCCAATATCATGCAAAATAGAAAATTAGCTATGCCAACAAAATACATCTTTCTAGCAATTCAGGAGAATATATTTTATTCTCCATGGAATTTATTGTTTTTCTTTGTGGCTGTAGTTGGAATGGGGTTTGGGGGAGAGGCTTCAACAAAGGAATGACTGGCTACCCCAAAATGGTGTCTGACTTAACTTCCTTTCAAGCCTGTGTCTGCCAAACACAGAGCACAGCTGGAACATTTCTCCTGTTTCTTTACGCTCTCCCATTCTGACCCCTCCTTTAGGGCGAACGTGGGGTGCCTCAGAACCAGCACGTGGAACGGCGCATTTCTGAAACCAGAATAAAAATAGAAATTCCCAGCATCAACACTGACTTAGGAAACGAGCTGTATTTTGTTAAACTACCTAGATTTCTCAGGATAGAACCCAAGTAAGAGAACTGAATAAAACATTCAAGAGATTGAAATACAACTGTATAAAATGTCAATTAACTGTTAAGAGTTGACCCATCATAAGATGAAAGGTTTCTTGTGTGACTGAAGACAAGAGAATAAGTTACTGCAGAGTTAGACTGCTAGCAGTCTTCCCAGCCATTGGCCCTCTGCTGTAAATGAACAGGAGTCACGTGACAATGTCACTTATGTAAGGCTGAATATACAGAATGAGAGAGAGTGAGATGCCAGAAAAATCATGGGTGGCCTGTGTAAATGACACTGAATCTAGACCAGAAAGTAACATCGGCAACAAAATAGTGTTGGCTGTTCTTACTCACTGAGGTACATAGGTACAAACTCCCTGAACTAAACAGAGGTCTCAGGTTTTAATTTGTTGTTAATTTGTACTTATTTATTCTTTTAAAATCGGCTCATATTGGCTAATTAAGCTAAGGGACTTTTTTTTTTTTGAGGCAGTGTCTCACTATGTGGCCCTGATTGTCCTGGAACTCCATACACAGACTAAACTGGCCTTGAGATCCATCTGCCTCTGCTTCCTGAGTGCTGGGTTTAAAGGCAAGTGCCACCATGCCTAGCTTAAGAAGTCTTGCTTTTTTTTTTTTAATATGGATTTTATTTTAGGAAGTTTGTCTTAAAAAGAAATTTCAAGAAAATAGTCATTGGCATACTTCCTGAAGGTTCTCATGAAGTTATCTGTCAGCCTTGATGTCTGTGGTAGAGACAACAGGTTTATAGTGTCAATCAATCATTAATTATGACTAATATGGAAAAATTTTTAGACCCTTTGACCCTCAGCTTTATGAAGATGAATTTGAAGATGAGAAAGTGCTTTATGAAGAAGACAAAACTAGGTTAAAATTAAAGGTACTATTCCATTTTCTATTCCTTTTCTCTCCTAGTCCCCCCCCCAGCTGTCTGAGTAGCTGTGGCCACAAGCATGCACTACCATGCCAGGCTAAGTTCTTCCATACACTTTTTTAGAGACTTAATTCATGTGTGCGAGTGTTTTGGCTGCATGTATGTATGTGCACCGTGTTTGTGCCTGGTACCGTAGAAGTCGGAAGAGGACATCCAGTCCTCTGGAGCTGGAATTTATGGATGGTTGCGAATCACTCTGTGGATGCTGAGAACCAAACCTGGAACCACCTTTCCAGCCCCCTAAATTTTTTTTTTAGACAATAAACACAGGGATGACAACATGAGACCCAAGCTTGAGAATGTTCCTAATGTTTCCTGCTTACTCAGCAAATAACTCTAGAACGTGGAAGTAATAGTCATTCTGGGTATTTAGGGCAGTAAAGCACACACATTTTCTCTTTCCTCTAGAATAACATTTTCTAATGTTTTCAGTTTTTACTTTTTTATTTCTTGGAGACAGGGTTTCTCTGGGTAGCCCTGGCTGTCCTGGAACTGGATTTGTAGACCAGGCTGGCCTTGAACTCACCGAGATCCACCTGTCTCTGCCTCCCGAGTGCTGGGATTAAAGGTGTGCACCACCATTGCCCGGCTCTCAGTGTTAAGCTGTAACGGAAATAAAGGTAGTAACTGTTGAAACTCACTAGCTTCCCTCAGATAAACAATGGTGTAGGTGTACAGGCCTGTCTACACACTTCCTCCCACAGATATCCTAGCAGCCTCCTCCCACCGAGAAGTGTCTCCTCATGGAGACTGACTTTGTGTGCAGCAGCAGACCTTGCCGTTAGGAGATTTCTCTTGAGAATACCTGAGATGACAAAGTTCTACCATTACTCATGCAGACATGTTGCCTTCCCAAACGTGTGGTAACTCTAGGAACAGTTCATTTTTTTGTGGTCTTTTGTGACTTGAAGTTTTCTATTTCATGAGTTAATTTGGACTCAAACAGAACTAAGTGCAGGTCTCAGTGTTTTTTTTTTTCTGAGACAGGATTTGCCTATGTTGCTTTGTAGACCAGGCTGGCCTTCAACTCACAGAGATCTGCCTGCCTCTGCCTCCCTGGTGCTGGGATTAAAGGTGGCTTGTGCCACCACTGCCTGGCTAGGTCTCAGATTTTCATTTGCTGCAAGTTGTTTTAGCGGGCGCGCGGGGTGTGTGTGTGTGTGTGTGTGTGTGTGTGTGTGTGTGTGTGTGTGTGTGTGTGTGTGTGTGTGTGTGTGTGTGTGTGTGTGTGTGTGTGTGTGTGTGTGTGTGTGTGTGTGTGTGTGTGTGTGTGTGTAACAGTGCTGGGAATAGGACTGGGGATCTCACACTAGGCAAGTGCTCTACTTCTATGTTACACCCTCAGCTCAGGTGTGGGTTTCAGCTTCTTACCTGTGTGGACTAAATTCCTTCTCTTTCCTGCGGAGCTCTTAGCTGTGGCTACAGGCTGCATCCTGTTCGGCCTCTCCTCCCACTGCTCTGACCTGGGCCTCAGGAAAAGTAAACAGAACGCGATGCCTGCTTAGCTTAACCAACATGTCCAGACACCTGTAGCAAATTGGTAGCGGCGCTGCTGAGGCAGCCATTTTCTTACCACCCATCAACCCTTAGCACACGATTATGAATCATTTGAGGAACAACAACAACAAAACCCCCAAATAGCTAGCAAAATTGTCTAATACCTCGCCTTCCGAACCAGGTGGAAAATACTATTCGCTGGAGGATGTGCCGGGATGAAGGATATAAAGCTAAAGAAAGCAATGCTCGGATAGTTAAGTGGTCAGATGGAAGGTGAGTGTGAGAACACCTGAGGGAGGCCTGGGCAAGTTGGAATTTCCTGTGTAGGACTTTATTGAGAAAATCTGGGCTGCTGGGATTACCTCAGAAACTTGAGAGAGATAAGCAGAGGCAAGGCCTTGCAGCTGGGTTAGTGGGAGAGTGTAGATCTGGCTTGATTCATTCAGCTAGATCCCTCTGCTCTGTCTTCTTGGCTGAAAGTCTAACCTTTGAAACCCCGGTAATTATTATTATTATTTTTTTTTTTGGTTTTTCGAGACAGGGTTTCTCTGTGGCTGTGGAGGCTGTCCTGGAACTCACTTGGTAGTCCAGGCTGGTCTTGAACTCACAGAGATCCACCTGCCTCTGCCTCCCGAGTGCTGGGATTAAAGGCATGCGCCACCAACGCCCGGCAAAACCCCGGTAATTAGAAATCACCTTTGTTGGCAGTGCTGGGGATCAAACCCGGTGCTTCAGTGAACATAGCAAGTGTTGTGCCCGCTGAGCTATGACCCCAGCCCCTAAGTTGAAATAATTTGAGAACTCATTTCAGTTTGCTAGTTAAAAGATACAGATTGAAAGATATTGTAAGACAAGCTGAAATGTGTATTTTACCACTTGTTTTTCTGAAGTGCGTATTAGTGACTTTTCCGTTGCTGTCATAAAACACCATGACCAAGGCAACCTAGAGAAGAGTGAGTTTATTTGCTCTTAGAGTTCCAAAGGGGTGAGAGTCCATCGCGGGAAGTGTGGCAGCAGGCAGCAGGCATGGTGGTACGGACAGCTTAGAGCTCACATCCCTCAAGCCGAGCAGCGAGCAGCGAGCTAAGTGGGTCTAGGGCTTTGAAACCTCAGAACCCACCCCAGTGACATACTTCCTCTAGCAAGGCCACACCTCTTAAACCTCCCCAAAAATGAAGCTGGGCAGTGGTGGCGCACACCTTTAATCCCAGCACTTGGGAGGCAGAAGCAGGCAGATCTCTGTGAGTTCCAGGACAGGCAGGGCTACACAATGAACCCTGTCTCAAAAAATAAACAAATGACAACAACAGGATCTCAGCTAGTGTGGTAGTGCACATCTTCAGCACTGGGGAGGCTGAGCTCTGTAAGTCTGTGGCCAGCCTGGCTTACATAGCAAGTTCCAGGACAGCCAAGGCTGCACAGACGAGGCAGTGTGTTTCATAGCTCATCCAGGCCCAGAATTCACTTTGTAGCTGACCCTGACCTTGAACTCCTGCTCCTCTTGCTCCACCTCCCCAGTGCCAGGGGTACAGGCAAACACTTGCATATCCAGCTTGGAAGGAGGCTATTGAGATCATCTTTTGTTTCTATGACTTCTAGAAGAAGTCAGGATCCTGGGCTAGTCACTAAGCATCCTAATACCGAATCGTTTCCCCTCTCCAGCATGTCCCTGCATTTAGGCAGTGAAGTGTTCGATATCTACAAGACCCCACTGCAGGACAACCATAACCAACTGTTTATACGGGAAGACACTGGTCTCCGGGGACAAGCCATCTTTAAATCCAGACTTACCTTTAGGTAACTTCCTATACATGTTGCTACTTGCCATTGGAGAACAAAGCAGAGCTGTGATGCGGAAAGCCTGACCCTTCGGACTGACGTCATTCTGTTGTGTAGCTCACCAACAGCCATGTCTGGTTCCAGGATGAGTTTTTAAAGTTAACTACAAGTTTCTCAGGGAACCAGCTCATGCTATGAAAACTTACAAGGGACTGGTTCGTGGCTTCTCGATGGCCGTGCACTTGCAAAACACTAGCCATTGTAGCTTGCTACTTGGTGTGTCCTTACCCTCTAGTGAAACTAACCCAAGAAAGCTAAACAGTCATCAGAATGTGGTGCTGGTGCGTGCGTAAAATGGGTGTGACCAAAGAGATTGTAGCTGTGCCTACTCCAGACACAGGGCCAGCTTTGCTTTGGCCCATCCTCTTCTTTTTTTTTAATTATTTGTTTTATTGGGGTTTTGCTTGCATGTATATCTGTGTGAGAGACTTGAATCTCCAGGAACTAGAGTTAGAGATAGTTGTGAGCTGCTGTGTGAGTGCTGGGAATTGAACCCAGGTCCTCTGGAAGAGCAGTCAGTGCTCTTAACCACTAAACTGTCTCTGCAGTCCCCCGGCCCACCCTCCTAAAGATATACCCGTGACCAGGATCCAGCTCTCCTTGAGAGGTCCAGCACTTACCATGGCAGTGGACACATGGCTCCTTTGAAGATGCTGAAGTATTTTAAATGAGATTGTGGTCATCTTTGTAAATTAAACTTTGTAAATTAAAAACCAATTATACACTTAAAAGTAAGGGACTGGGGTGTACATCATCAGTAAATGTATTGTTTTTCTTTAAAGACTGCAACAACTGAAAGGGTATAGTCTTGAGGGTCTCAGTCTCACCAGTTTGCAGTTTCCTTAGCTATAAAATGTGTGTCACAGGGATGTTGTGTTAAATCGTACATAAACCTGGCACAGTGCGTGCTCAGCCTTCCCACTTAGGAATGGTTTTTAGATGTTCCTGAAGCATGTGCAGTTCTTAGTTTTTGCTGTCTACCCTTGCTCTGAGCTCTACACTGGGGTACTATTTGACTGTTTGGCACAATTTCTTTCCTTATGTCCTTTCTTTTATCTTTGTGACCCAGTTACAAGCTGTCTTCCTATACTCAGGAAGGAACCTGCTGTTTGTGACAGTGCTGCTATGTAGCCCAGGCTGATTTGAACTTACCATTCCTCTTCACCTCAAGCTTGCAATCCTCCTGCCTTTGCCTGGGTGATGTGATTACAGGCTGCTTCCATGCTGAGACCCTTGTCTCATCCTGAGCTGTTGAGGCCCCCTCATGCCATGGTGACTTGCTTTGTTTTTGAGACAGGGCCACACACTTGGCCACCTGCTTGTTAAAACCATCCTACTTTTATTGGGTGGAGGGACCATCTTTGAGTTCTCAAAATGTTCCTGTAGCGCTTGCTCCACCCTGTGGATCTGAGATTTCATGACTCTCGTCTATGATTGCAGTTGGGCGCGTGCTTTCTTTGTAAAAGCACTTGATCTGGCCGCCCAACTCTCCCCTGGCACTCTGGGTCAGTCCACTTCACTTTCTCTGAGTGGTGAGCAGAGGGAAACAGGTCCTCGTGTCTCCTCACTCTGCTCAAGTGTGAGGTCATCATTATGCATGGGCACTTTTGGTGTTCTTGGTAAAACTGAGACAGATTATTTCCTGGCAGACCTCACTGTACAGACAGTGCCACCTATAAAAAGATGACCCTTTCATTTGGGAACAAAAGTTCAAAGACACAGATTCGAATCTTACCGATGGCTGGTCGTGACCCTGAATGGCCGCGCACAGATTTGATTCAGGAATGTCGGGTAAGCTTTATGTTGGGACCTTTTGTACATTAAGGGCTGTTTTCTGAACGTAAAAAAAATTACAAAGTTCTTTGGGTACAGCTTAGTAGCTTTGCCTTGCACGTGCAAGGCCTTGGGTTGACTCTTGGGTACCACAGGGAGGAAAAAAGAAAACAGGAAGGTCTAAAGAACCTTTTTGACTTGTTTGACACTGGTTCAGCTCTTTTAACTCCAAAGTGTGGCATGCTGGGCAGTTCTAAGAAACTGGCAGTCTCTTCGGTCTGCTGTCAGAAGCTGGGGTATATTTGCATTGAAGGCCACAGTAGGAATGTCAGGGAAACTTGGGAGCTTGGTGGAGGGAGCCTCAGCAGGTCAGATATCTGCAGCTTAGGGATGGCCACAGCCAGCTTCCACTGCCCAAGAGAGTCGTTTCTTTTCAGAAGGCGTTTCTCAGGCTGGCACTTCTGAGCTGTTAGTGGTATCTGCAGAGGATGTTCCCAGGGGCATGCCTGTGCTAGTTTTGATCATTCTCGCTCCTGTGTTGTCTTTACTCCACCAAACCATTTATTGTTACAGCAAGGCAGGGCAGTAGACTGCACACTGGAGACACAGGGCATCAAACTGCTTGAAAAATGGGTTTGAATGGGCACAAAGTAGCTCCATCTTCCCTCGCCCTCTCCCCCTTTTCTGTTGGAGGAACTTTCAGTATATTGCTGGGCTGGTCTTGGACTCCGGGTTTAAGGTGTCTTCCTGCCTCAGTTTCCACTACAGATGCATGCTACCATATCCTGTAGAAAATAGTTCATTTTTTTAAAGTCTAAAGTTTGCTTTTTTAACAGAAAAAAGAACGCTCCAGGGTGTCTACACAACGGAACTTCCATTTGAAGAGGAAGAACCAGCCATGTCCAAGTCCCACCATCCAGCAGCCTGACAGTGATGATGAGGAAGAGGAGGAGGGAGAAGAGGAGGAAGGCAAGGCCTCCAGCCTTGTTACCATTAAAAACCATTACCTGGGAGCAGTCCACAGTAAGTCAGTGTTGCTGTCAGATCTCATTGCAGTAGGCAGGGCCTAGTTTTGCTCTGGTGGGATCTTCATCTTGCTCATGTTATTTACCTAAGATTATAACACACAACCCCTTCCGTTTTGCTTTGGTTCAGGCCACTCACCCATAGAAAAGGTTAATGAAAGCAAGACCTCTTCAGAAACCATAAAACCTGTTCTACATATGGTATATACTTGTGTAGGAAATTGAATATATTAGCACAATTAAGTACTCAGTATTTGGGGGCTGGGGAGATGGTTCAGTGGTTAAGAGCACTGACTGCTCTTCTATAGGACCTGGGGTTCAAATCCCAACACCCATGTAGCAGCTCACAACTGTCTGTAACTCCAAGATCTGATACCCTCACACAGACATCTATGCAGGCAAACCACCAATATATATAAAATCCTCAGTGTGGGTTCCTCTTTCCTTCTCGGCCTATCAGCCTATCAGTCCAAAAGGGAAAGAGGCAGATGGGGCGACAGAAAGCTTTGTACGTGGTCCATGAGCATGAACAGAGATGGCCCTCAAAGAGACAGATTTTGGTGAATCAGCTCAATTTTGTTCCAGAGTATAAGGCATACATAGGATTGGGAAGCCTGAGGACAAACTCTGATTTGCATTAAGTGACACTCTCCTATCACAAGGCTTAGTATATGACAGTAGGGTCTTAGAGCACAGCCCCTAGCACAAGTCTTCTCAACAGGGATCTGTGCCAAGGATCAAGCTAAAGATTAATCAGGCATCTGGTTTAGGGACAGCTTTTAGATAAGGTCAGTCCTGCAGGCCCAGGGACATTGTCCAGATAAGGGCAGGTAGAAAGCAGGAAGCCTTGCTGGGGAGGGAGGAAGCTTCCATATTGATGAGCTTAGAGAAAGCTAACAGGCTATGGTAGACTGTGACCTCTAACCAGCCAGCAATGTATTCCAATAACTCAGTATTTAAACCTCATTATCTTTAAAGATATTATGAACATGGGCTGGAGAGATGGCTCAGCGGTTAAGAGAACTGACTGCTCTTCCAGAGGACCTGGGTTCAATTCCAAGCACCCATATGGTGGCTCACAGCTGTCTGTAACTCCAGTTCTAGGGAGCCTGACACTCTCACACAGACATGCAGGCAAAACACCAATGCACATGGAATAAAATAAATAAATACTTAAAAAACAAAACAAAACAAAGAAGATATTATGAACAACTGGGCAAGGTGGCAGGAGCTTCCAATCAGTACTGTGGAGACTGAGGCAGGAGAATTTGAATCGGAGGCCAGCCTGGGCTGCTACTTAACACATCCCAGGACAGCCAATGGAGACTATCTCAAAAACAAACGAACAAAAACCCCATACCACGTATTTATAAGGCTTCGGGGTACCTAATAGTGCTCAACCTGAGACTGCCCAATCTGAGGATTCTCAAGCTGTCATTCAGCTCATGTGAAAGTTCTATTTATCTTTCTACTGAGACTTAAAAAACAAGCAAGGAAAACAACAACAAAAACAACCAGGCAAAAGTCAATATCTTGTTTATTTTTCAAAAAGTATAGTGCCAGGGACAATATTCAGCTAAAGTAAGAGTCAGTAATAAGTCTTCCTCTTTGAAGGCCGTTCTGGGAAGATCCAGCTTGAAGAGCCTGGCAGGATGCTGGGAGTAATGGGGCAGGCAGGCCAGTGAGGGCTGTAGGGGGCAGTTCACTGGGGACAGTTCACCGGGGACACACCAGCAGAGCTATGGGCAAGGGTGGCAGCAAGAGTTGTGGATCCTTTTGACAGGGAAAGCAGGCGAGCAGGGGCAATCATGGTAGTTCCAACTTAAGATGGCTGCGGCCAGGTAAAGGTGGGTCCCTCCCAAGGTCAACCCTGTTTCTAAAAACTCCTTTACTTTCAGAGAAACAAGCCCTGCCTTCCTTAGACAGTGATGATGAAGGATCTGAAGAAGATAAGGCCGGGAGAATATTGAAAGCCAAGAAACTCGTGAGCGTCAGGGGTAAGGCTACATTTATTCAGTTCTAGGGTGGCCTGCTCACAGGCAGGAGCACAGCTTACAGTTCACTGACACAGTGCAGTAATAAGAGCCAGAGACCCCGCTGTCTGGCAGGGGTGGGTCGGGAGGCCACACAGACTCCTGAAAAATTAAGAGGAAATTTCAAAATCACAGGCCAGGGTGAGGCATCTCAGCTACAGAGAGGGTATAAGGCAGGACACAGGGCCCTGAGGCAGCAAGGCTCCTCTAGAGAATGGCAAACGCTCAGTGGAGAAACAGGTGCCTGTTGTTTGGAGAGAGCAGCAATGGAGAGCTACCTTAGTCTGTGCTAGTTCCCATCGAGTCTTTGTTTCCCTTTTCTCTTGTAAGATCACGAAGACATTGCAAATCATAATCACGTGAGGGGCCCCATGATGCTGCTGCTCCTGGGACATTCAGTGCCTCTGAGCATGTAACTTGCTCCAGGTTCCACAGGCAGGGATAAGCAGTTTAAATAATAGCGGCTACTTGATAATTCATTTATATGTGTATATACATATGTAAACCTTTCTAAAGAAAACCACAAACATACCTAAGCATTCTTAAAATTCAGTCTTTAAATTTTTTTTATTTATGAGTGTTTCCCTTGAGTGTACACCACATGCACGCAGCACCATGAAGGCCAGAAGACCATGGTGATGGAACCCTCTGCCCCTCATCTCAAGTTACAAGGGGTTATGAGCTGCCATGTGGGTGCTGGGAACTGAACCTGAGTTCTCTGCAGGAGCCATCTCTCTAGCCTCTAAAATCAGACCTTAACATACTTAATTTTATAGAAGTACTGAGACAAAATCATGTATTTCAAGTAATGTGATAGAAATACCATATTGAAGGGAAAGTGTCCCCCCTACTATGACAGCCACCCAGGGAAAGCCAAGTCCCAGGAACGTAGCTGCCCAGAGATGATGATGTGTGGCCACAGGTCTCTGGGGCACATTTCTCCTGTCAGTTCAGAACTACTTTGGACAAGGCTGCCAGAAACACCTTCTATGAATTTTATAAATCATCTTTCGTATTTCTTCAGGAGATGAACCCTCCAGAAAGAGGCCAAGGGGTGAAGAGGAAGACTGAAGTGTACAAGGAAATGTACGCTGGTGACTATCAAATTCAAGTCCTTAGTTTTCTGTTTGTGTTGGGACTGAATCTAGAGCGTCCTGTCTGCTGAACATACATTCTACTACTTAGGTACACTCCAACCCCTCAAAGATAGTAAAGCAAGATGATTGTCTAGACTCACAATGAACCAATGAGATGGGCCATGCTGAAACCATTGGTTTTTTTGAGATGAGATCTTACCATGGAGCCCTGACTGGCCTGGAACTTGCTATGTAAACTAGGCTGGCCTGGAATCTGGAACACACAAAGATCTGCCTGTTATTGCCTCCTGAGGGCTGAGATTAAATGTGTGTGCCACTACGCCTGACCTCCTTTAAACTTTTCTAGCACTATTTGTGGCTGTATAGTAAAAACATTTTGGTTAGTATTAGCTCCAGAAAAAGCATTTAGACCCATTCAGAATACAGGGGTCACATATCAGGTATCCTGCTTAACATAATTTGCATAATGATTCATAACAGCAACATTACAGTAATGAAGTAGCAACAAAATAATTGCATGGTTGGGGGGGGTTCACAACATGAGGAACTGTGTTAAAGGATCATAGCATTAGGAAGGTACTGACCCTGATATACCCATGAACCTCTAGGCCACCTCTACAAACCATGCAAAAAAAGCTTAACATTTGAAGGGCAAAACTGTTTGGCACTTATGTATTATGTGTGGTTAGCCATGCAAACTGTTGGTCCCTGGGCTCAGCACTGTTCCCTGGGATATTTCTGAGAACACACGAAGGCAGTGATCAGGCACAGCCTGTTGCACGCTCCTCCACTCAGACTTAGGAGAGCTGCAGCTTGGGCCGCTGAACCTCCCTGACTCACCGTCCTCAGAAGAACATGGCCACTTTTACTCATAAAACAGTGATTGTGGCCAGGTATGGCTGAATTACAGTTCATGCCTAACTATAGCACTTGAAGACAGAGGCTGTGAGTCTGAGGCCAGCCTGAGCTGTAGTGGGACCTTATCTCCAACAAACAAAAAAATAATTTCATATGGTTCAGTTGAATATCAATACTCATTCTTGTCTGTCCATAAAACTAAGCTGACATATACAAATGACAGATTTTACAGTAAGGCAAAGGACATTGGGTATCAGTCGTCCATTCCCCCACCCATCCCCACAGTCAGTGGGACATGTTATGGACAGACACAACTGAGCACTGATGAAAAATGGCCAACTAGTGACCATTTTGTATGGTTCAACAGGGAAATGCAAGGCAGTGCAGGCCACAGACTGGGTGTCTCCAACAGACTTAATTCCTCATATTTCTAGCATGAAGGTTCAGTCCTAGTGAGGGCTCGGAAAGAACTAGCTCCTTCTAGCTGGTCCTCACCTGGTGGTGACTCTTCTGTCTCTTCTTAGACACTAGTTCAGGTTGAGAGTCCCACTTTGGGTACCGTATACACCCATGATTGTCTCCCAAAGGCTCATCTCCAAGTCCCACCACTGCTGCATGTTAGGACTGCAGTATAGGAATTTGGGGAGGATAAAAATACTGAGTCCATAACAGGCAGGAAAGAGTAGCTTGGGAATGAATACACTTCATCTCTTAAAGGAATTATTATTAAATCATATTAGCATACAAGGCAATGGGTTTCACTGTGGCATTGTCATATATGTGCTGTTATACTTTGTTCTCATCTAGTCCCCTCACCCACAATAAGCTTGTTCCTCAAGAAGAATGTAATGAATGCTGGAATTCTAAAACTAAAGTGATTTTTTTTTTTTTTTGGTTTTTCGAGACAGGGTTTCTCTGTATTGTTTTGGAGGCTGTCCTGGAACTCGCTCTGTAGACCAGACTGGCCTCGAACTCACAGAGATCCACCTACCACTGCCTCCCAAGTGCTGGGATTAAAGGTGTAAAGTGATTTTTTTTAAAAGTCTGAATATAGGATATTTGATGAACTTTAATAAAGTTAATTTGTTTCAGTATTCAATATGTTTTAAATGCCTATAGTCTAGTCTTCAAAAGAAACTTTACTTTGTTATAAACTGGATGGATACTACTTTGTTATTAAATGTCAGAAAAGTCATTGTTTTCCTACTTACAAAGCATTTAGTGTTTTGATATGTTAGTATCAGAAAAACCTTATTTAATACCCATCTTCAAAGGACAGAGAAACATGCGTTGCCACAAAGCTCTGTTCAGGCTTCAGGCAAAACCAAACCAAATGTAATTCATCCGCAAGACTGGAAGAAATAAAGTGTGTATGTGGAGTCACAAGGGCTTTATGTACGAGCATACTTTTTCTCACTCTTCATCTTCAGCACAAGGGTTTAGGGAGGGTACAAAGATTAAGTCCTCAACAGATAGGAAAGAGTAACTCGGGAATCAGTAAGCTTTCTTTTTCTTTTTTGGTTTGGCTTTTTGAGACAAGGCTTCTCTGTGTAGCTTTGGAACCTGTTCTGGAACTTGCTTTGTAGACCAGGCTGGCCTCGGACTCACAGATATTTGTCTGCCTCTGCTGCGTGAGTGCTGGGATTAAATGTGCAAGCCATCACTTTTTTTTTTCTAAACTTTCTTTTTAAAGAGTTTAATCTTTAGGTTAGCACACAGAGCACTGGGTAACCTTGGATTCTACTGCCTTAAGCTACCTGCTGGGATTCCACCCCAGCCAGGGAAACAATTTGTAAACAGTAATCCTTAAGCACACAACCTAAAATCTCAAAACCATTAAATAAATGTATTGCTCAACTAGACAAAGTGATGCTTGTCTGTAGTCCAGCTACTCAGGAGGCTGAAGCAGAGCTCATTGAGCTCTGGAGTTGGAGGCCAGGCTAGGTAACGTAGTTAGAACCTGTCCTAAAACCTAAACAAAAAGGAAGAGGAACTTCACCATCACCATAGTCTTTTTTCTAAGCAGAGATGAAATAAACTGTTACAAATTGCCACACATACCAATTGAGAAACACCTAGAGGGAACTTGTTGCTTCTTGTTCTGCTACGTGACAGTCAACAGTCAGTGAGGAGGACATTTGCAAACCAGATCTCAGTCTGTTGACATTCAGGCCTTGGCTTTCAGCCTTCAGAACTTGAAATTTCACATTGCATCAAGAATAGTATTAATAAGCCGCGAGAGAAGGAAAAAACGATGACCCCTGCTAAGAGAAACCAGTCTCTGCCTCCAAGGCGGTGGTGCCTGGAATGTTGAACCCTCAACAGCACAAGGCTGCAGTGCTGATATCCTACCCCGCCAGTGCACATAAGACACGGGGAACGCTGCACAAGATGGGCTGGATGGAGTGTAAGAGCCAGGGACCAGAGCGGGATGTTGTTTCCTGTATGTGACAGGGAGCCAGACTAATCTAACAGTGTGGTTGCCCAAACCTGGTTTGGCAAATGACAATGCCTTATGTGACAACAGGTGAAAAGCTAATGTGAGCCTCACTATCAGGCCCTTTAAAAAGGCCCATTGCTGGAGACTGGAGGGAGTGGAGGTGTCAAAGCAATATACGAAAGGGTTCTACAGGGCCAAGCCAGACACCGACATAGACACAACACAGTCCTGTCCTCAGGGACCTCCGTTTGCTATGCCGCCTTTACTGACTGGAGAAGACACTTTCAAGGCCTACAGTTTTCTCTCAAACAAATCCAATCTGGAGAAACTGGGCTTTTGGCAGGTGGAGCAGCTCTGTCTCCTACCAGGGTACTTCTGTTGACCAATGCTGTAATGCTGTAACCCTGGGCTGTAATGGGTTCAGCTTGACTGTGGTGGCAGGTAGATACAGCTGTTGGATAATGTGGTGGCTTGAATAGGAATGGTCCCTATAAGCTCATAGATTTGAATGCTTGGCCACCAGGGAGAGGCACTATTAGGTGTGGCCTTGCTGAAGGAAGTGTGTCATTGGGGGTGGGCTCTGAGGTGTCAGCTCAAGCCAGGCTCAGGATCACTCTCTTCCTGCTGCCTGCCAATTCAGCTATAGAACTCTCATCTTCTTCTCCAACATCATGTCTGCCTGCATGCCACCACGCTTCCCTCCATGACGATAATGAACTAATGTCTGAACTGTAAGTCAGTCCCAATTAAATGTTTTCCCTTGTAAGAGTTGCTATGGTCATGGTGTCTCAACATGACCTAACTAAAACAGATGAAAACTGCAGGAAGTAAACTCAGGCACGGTCTCATTTCTGGAACACCAAAAAAGGATGTAGTGAGTATGCTGAGCAGATCCAGAAGGTGAACATGCATGCCACCCTCACCAGAGGGCAGGGGCATCAGTGATGCAGACGGAAGGCTAACAGCAGGTACCAGAGAGTGCAGGCTGGAGGCTTCAGTGGCAAGCCAGACTGGCTCTGACTTCAGGAAACCAGACATTTTACAGTGCAGATAGTGGTTTGGCCTATACAACCAGCTGCCTTGGCCCTACATGGCCTCAAATGTATTTTCTTTCTTTCTTTCTTTTTTTTTTTTGGTTTTTCGAGACAGGGTTTCTCTGTGGCTTTGGAGGCTGTCCTGGAACTAGCTCTTGTAGACCAGGCTGGCCTCGAACTCACAGAGATCCGCCTGCCTCTGCCTCCCAAGTGCTGGGATTAAAGGTATGTACTACTACTGCCTGGCTTGGAACCACAGGTTTTATGAAGCTTAATAACTTATTTTAGACTTATTTTAGTGGCAATAAGGGTTAAACATGATATAGTATACAATTGATACTTTATTAAGACATGTTCTTTTATAATCTTGATATATTGCCTTTAAAGGAAACACATGAAGGGATTATCGGTTGGAAAACAATCTTTAAAGTTCTATTTACATGTAACTTTTCAGGAGTGCACCCCTTGGATAAAGTGCATGGCTAATTTAATTAGTGATAATGTGCAACTTAATAATCATGGACACTCTCCTCGAAATCACCAATAGCCTGCTAATATGTTTAACACAAAATGTTTATTTGGTCTTTGAAATGACAGGCACCTTTAGAAAAATGTATTTTACTTATTCTTTAAACTCCGGTAGGTTTCAGCTATAGGAAGTATATAGCACCAAAATCTACTTTCAAGGTATTAATATTAGAGACTAACATTGAGTTTAATGTATACAATTTGATATAGACATACTGAAAATTATAACAAGACAAATACAAATACACAGTTTTATGAAATGGGCAATTTTTAAAAGAGCAATTTTTAAAATGTGAATGTCATTCTTAGATAACCATTTAATTTGACATAAACTTCAAGGGTTTAGAAAATCGCTGGCTTATAATTAAAACTGTCTTAATTTATTACTATATCATAAAAAAATCTCAGGAATTTGAAAATACCGAATTAATAAAAAGTCAAGAGGTGCCAGACTTTTAAAGATCAAGGTAAACACTGTTTTCCATTATAATTCTTTTTTTTCAAGACAGGGTTTCTCTGTGTAATAGCTCTGGCTGTCCTATAACTCAAAGACATCCGCCTGATTCCGCCTCTCTACTGCTGGGATTAAAGGTATGTGCCACCATGCCTGGCCTCCATAATAACTCTTAAAATGTATCTATTTAATTGGATAAGTTCATACATAAGTTACTTAGAAAGAAGTATTTTCTTCAGTTATATAATGTATTACAAAACTGAAGTGGTATAAGCAAAACTCGATTTGTCATGCCTCACTGGACCTTCTCCTGGCTGTTGTTTGTGGCTGTGAATGCCTCTCTTACTCCTTCTGCAGGGGCTGCTCTGGGACAGGGCATAGACACAAACCCAAATCCTCAAGCAGGTATCAGTGTGCAGCCTCGCCCAATGCCACTCTTCAGTACACTGCTCAAATCCTCACCCTAATGCCTGGGTGATAACGGTAACCTATGCTATAGAATTTTTTAAAGTACAAGATGAAAGGAAGCATCTACTAAAGTTGGACTTCTGAGGAACAGCAGATTTTGTGATTGGCTGGAATGCTGTGGAGTGGGGATTAACTACAATGCTGCTTTATACCTGTGGAATCACATATGGAACATCTTACCATGTGGTACAAGGTTTTTCTTTTCTTGACACAGATTCTCACATCTGTAGCCCAGGCTAACTTGGAATTTCCTATATAGTTCAGGCTGGCTACAAACATCTGGAAATAGTCCTTTCTCAGCTTCCCAAGTGCTAGGTTTACAGGAGCGACCATCATCGTTAGCTCATGTTTTAGTTTCTAACTGACAGTACTCATCAGTTTAATGGCCGTTTTGCGAGTTTCTTGGGTTTGAACCCCCTCTTATATCTAATAGCACCTTACCTTTCTCTTTTTCTTTTACTCTAAGTAACTGAGTATTGGTCAAGAGCCTTTTTATGGGGAAGAAAATAACCTCTCTACTTTGATGCTTTTTACCATTGGCTTTTACAGAAATGTAATGTCCACAGCAAGATGAAATACTGTAGTAACCTTAGATGTAACTATATTTTTAAATAAGGTAGGCAGTAGGGCTGAATTAAAGACTATTAGCAAATAAACAAACAAATCCCAGTGTAGCTGAGGCCCACTGGATGAGTACAGAAACCTTCAATGAAGAGGACTGTTTGGTTTCCCAGAGGAGGATTGGTCCATCTCCTGGAGACCTGCTTTGGCTTATGTAGATATATCAGATCCTGAGCCATCTTTTAAAATTCTGAAATTTTACTTCCATAATAAGGAAAAAGCAAACTCTTGCCAAATTCATGGTTTTATTTTGCTTTTTTGGGGGGTAGTTTTCAAGGCAGGGTTTCTCTGTGGTTTTGGAGGCTGTCCTAGAACTAGCTCTTGTAGACCAGGCTGGTCTCTAACGCAGAGATCCACCTGCTTCTGCCTCCTGAGTGCTGGGATTAAAGGCGTGCACCACCACCACCCAGCATTTTTTTTGTTTTTTAAAAAGGAAACCACCATGTGCTTTATCCTTTATCTACAAGGAACAACATTAATATCGCCGAGTGAGCAATGTCCCTTTTTGCTTTAAAAAGATTGGTCCTCAAAGTGTTCAAATTATTCTTTCATGACTTCTGAAACTTTTTTTTTTTTTTTTGGTTTTTCGAGACAGGGTTTCTCTGTGGCTTTGGAGGCTGTCCTGGAACTCGCTTGGTAGTTCAGGCTGGTCTCGAACTCACAGAGATCCGCCTGCCTCTGCCTCCCGAGTGCTGGGATTAAAGGCGTGTGCCACCAACGCCCGGCCTGAAACTTTTCTTATAACTGCATTTTTATCTAAAAAATACGAACCATTCAATTAAGCTAAATTAAAATGATTTCAGTAGAAAGGCTAAAAATATAAAATACTACCCATTACTGATTTTACAAATCAAACATAATATCTTAAGCTAGGAGAATAATGCATATAGTTAAAAAAAAGGATTTCCAGTCTTTTCCCTTCTACCCAGGAAGTTTTTACATCTGTTGACACCAACAGGAGCCTCTGGTCATCTGCAGGCTTCCAAAGGTTACCCTTGGCACTCTTATTGGTGGTCTCCTTCAATTCGCCTCTTGCGCACTGTGGAAAAAAAAACCTGTTATTAATTCCTATTGGTTTATAAAATATTAGCTTGCTTGTAACATGTTTCTGTATAACGCAGTTAGTGTCTCATAACCAACTGAGTTCTGATCATATGACCATTAATAAAGAAGGCTTGGTCATCTGCCATAGTCATTTGCTTTATGAAAATTAAGAGGCTTCTAAACAAGAGCTATGTATCTCATGGCACAGGCGCTTACATAGCAGCTGGGTGGAACTTAAAACGCAGTATTCAATGTAGTATACAGTGTGCATTCAGCACTCAGTTTTCAAGTCATTTGCTTATAGGAAAAAAGTATGCCTAAGTTTAGAGAAATGATCAGTTAATAATGTTTACAATGACATTGGCAAGCTGTGGCTAACAAGTTATATTAGGGGGCTGGAGAAATGGCTCAATGCTCTTCCAGAGGACCTAGGTTCGATTCCCAGCACCCAAATGGCAGTTCACAACAATTCTAGTGCCAGAGGATCTGACACCCACTTCTGGCCACCACAGGTACTAGGCACACACATAGTACAAAGACATACATGCAGGCAAACAACAATTCATGAAATAAAATTTAAGAAGTTTTACTAAAAGTATTTGCATGTTCCCCTGGTTAGATACATTTCCTTACACTGAAGGAATCTAAATTACTTTCATCATTTCTAAAGGTGATAACTGACTTGCAACTGTTTTCCAAATTTCTGCTCTCTTTACAAATTTTCCTTCTGGCTACTATAAATATTGGCTGCACATGACTAGCCAACTAGTCTAGATGATAGAGCAAGCAATACATATGCCCAATGATGCTCAGTCTTTTCATGGACTGGTGACATTAAACTACTACTGAACTCACTGGCAGCAAGTAGAGTCTTCAGGTATCTTGCTCTTTCGACTATCAGTCAATAAGGGCACCATTTAAGAACTCAACACTATGGCTGACCACTATTCAAGGAAGACAGAACAGCAAGTTGCAGAGTCACAAGGGTTCACACCCACAGTTCTGCTGATCTTGTGGAATGTGTGCTGTGTGGCCGCCAGCCTCTGTGAGTCTCCACTTTGCTCTGGCTGTGTGACAGCAAGCTGCTCAGAGCAGTGCTGAGAACACAGCAGTGCCTAGTACAGAGGGCTCCGCTCCACCCACCACAGCAAGACTACACGCTGGCCCCGAGGCACTGCTCAGCTGTGTTTCTACGTGGCTACCACGAGGATCTGCACTCCTGTGCTATTGGTTTTGCTACTCTGCACTCAGCTTCTGGTTACTGATTCCCCATTTCCCCTCTGGAAGCCAGTCACAAGGCACCACCGCTTTCTAGTCCGAATTGGCTGTCAGAGGAGCTAGTCAAGAGAGTGCTGCTTCCTACTCAGCCACAGTAATGGCTGCTCCCATGCTATTCTGACTGTTGGCTGCTGGGACCAGACATTTGCTAGTGTGTGTAAGAACTGTCCAGCCAGAAAATAAAAGCAAAAGCTACAGTCTCCTCCACGAACTACATTTACCTACTCACTTTTCCCTGACTCTGATCTAACCTACAGTAATGAGGAACAAGCTTCAAGTACCTACTGAAAAATAAGGGAGGAAAAAGCCAAGGAGACCAGAAATAAATACAAATACAAATATACAAGGGAAACAACAGGCAATTGTTAGGGCAGTGTTTGACTGGTTTTGGCAAACCGTTCCGGATGTTAAAATGCATGCTAAAAAAATATTAAAAGCATACAGACAGGATCTACAGGACAGAGCACAGCAAACAAAGCTCCATAGAAAACTGATTACGCAGTTAGCAGATGAACAGCTCAGTGTTGAAGTGACTATTGTATGTGTACCATACAACCTCTTTTCTGTTATAGCTGTGACGCTTCTTAGCTGGAGAGATGGCGAGTAGGCAGAGGTATTTCAACGGACAGCTGAGAGTAAGAAGACAATAAGGAGGTATTATAAAAATGAGGGCAAAGATCTGGTAGAGCCGCACTTGCAAGCTGAAGGGAAGTTACGTGCCCAGGAGACTGTCAGGGCAGGCTCTGGGACCCCTGTGTTAGAAAGCATGGTTCCTGGGCTCTCTGTCCGAGTCCACGGGCGAAGACCACAGTGCGCAGAAAGAGAAGGAAGCTGGGAGCAGACCTGAGGCAGCTGCTGTGCGTACAAGGCACAGAGCAAAGGGCAGAGCGCCAGGTTTGCTTACTGTCACCGGAGTCCGCATTTTGTACCTAGTCCAATTTTCTTTTTTCCAAAAACTACTTCATGAGTAAAGAGTCTTTCTTTTTTAAATGAGGTTTATTAGAAAGGGAGGGAGGGGGAGGAAAGAGAAAAGAGGTAAAGAGACAAAGAGACACAGACAGAGGACAGAAGAGAAGAGGGAGACAGGAAAAGTCCCGTTTGCCCAGGGGGACAGTGGGAAGAGAGAGCAGAAAGAGACCTGGGAAAAAGCAGAAAGAGGAGAGCAGAAAGAGAGTAAAGACTCTTGATCCTTCACAGGTAGCCACTTGTTAATAAGTCTTAACTGACTTCACTTTCAGTCTCTAAAACAATAATGTTGTTTTTTTCTTTTAAAGTGTTGTGTTCATCAGATAGCCTATACTAGTGCCCAAATGCCTCCAACATGAAAACAAACGACTAAGTTTTTTGGCATGTAGTTTTAGCATTTTCTATTAACCCCTGCTCCATTTTCGCCAATGTCTTCCTAATGTGTTGATCTCACTTCACGCTCATACATGTACACAATGCATTCGGATTATTTTCACCCCACCCTTCTTGCCTCTCTCTCCTATCCCTATCAATCCCATCTCTTCCCTACCATTGACATCACTTTAAAAAAATCTGTATTTATTCAAACAAGTATGTGCATGGGCAGTTTATTGTAGAGCTGCTTCCTCTCACATCCAACCTTCTATAGAAGCAGTGGCCCCAGGAATGGCCTTATTGTCACTTTACACGTGTGACCCATGTCTAGTTTGCATCAGAATGGAAAAGCATGAGTAGAGTCTAGAAGATTCCTAGCAGAAGCGTGGGCTTCTCAATTGCGTTTTGTGACAGACCACACCTTCTTCTGTATGGCCTCCTTATCCTCACAGTACACTGCTGTGGACAGCTACTCAATTGTCAGTGTCCACAGAAGACAGCCCAGGAAGTCCTTATTTGTCCCACTTATCCACATACCCTCTTACAATATTCTTTTCTGTTAGCCCGGGCACAGCATCTGTCACAATTGGTTTGGCACAAGAACGTAATTTCTGAAACCCCTGCTATCATGTTTAGGGGATGCAATTACACAATTCCCGTGGGTGTCATCTACCTATATATGTTGCTGGCATTTTGGGATTTAAGGTAGATTTAATGGAAGATTTGTCTGATTTAGTTTAAGATGATTCAGTTACCAGAAAACTATAACTGAATAAAGACAAATTCTACTGCCTTATTCCCTCTTCTCCCCCTACTCTGACCCTCCCCTTTCCATCCCCTAAGTTGTATCCCAGTCCCTTAATACATTTTTACATTTTTACTAAATATCTGCTATGGGTCAGACATGATTTTTGAACATGGCTCTTGAAAGCAACATGTCACTATACTAAAAAAATAAATAAAATAGTAATGTTTGAAAATAGACTATTTTGTTTTAAAATTTTTGTTTACTATGCTTGTGTATGATGTGTGAATGCATGTGTATATATGTACACTGGTGTGAGTGGTCAGAAAACAACTTTGTGACATTGGGTCTCTCTTTCCATTGTTACATAGGTTCTAGGGATCAAACCCAGGTTGTCAAGCTTCAGTGGCAACCACTTTACTCAATAAGCCATATTGCTTGCTCCAAAAGAGACTTTTCTGGTTAGCATACTTGCTCATGCCTATAATCCAAAACACTCTGCAGGTGGAGGCAGTAGGATCACCAGGAGTTTGAGGCCAGCCTGAGTTATAATGGCAGGACCTGGCTCAAAAAAACCCAAAATTTATCTGAAGACAGACACTTTAAATGAACTACAACTAACTTATAAAGTAAAAGGCAATTTTAAAAGCGTGACAAATGCTAAGTAGAAAATATATATGGCACATGTGTTCATGATATGTATTAATGCCAGACTCAGAAACTCTAAACTAGGATTTCAATGAGCATGAAGTGCCCACTGCAGAATTAGAGTACTTGTTAAGGGTCACAATGCCCAAGTTCTGCCCTACTCTAACCCTGAATGGGAAGGAAAGCCAATAGTCTGGTTTTGAAAGTTCTCTATTTACAAAGTTCAGTGCAGACTTGAGAAACACTGCTCTGAACATCAAAGTCAAAACACTTGGAGGAAAATAAATGATGAGAACCAACACTAAGACAATTGGCTGAAAACTACATCACAATCAAGAGTACAGCAAAGCACTTTCTTTTGAGAAAGGGAATTAAACAATATGGCTCATGTAACTAGATTAAAGGAATGAAACTACATCAATATAAATGCAAATCTGGCTGAAGCCTAAAAGAATTACTTTGCTTGGAAACACCACCCCTATTGAGTGTAAATAGTATAACTTAAAAGGAGAGTCACTTTCTGGAAACACAGAGAAACAAGTTTATGAGCACCATAATTATTAACTCATCCAGGATAGAGACCACAAGACTCAGCAGGAAAAGGAACAGGGTAAGATGGGATCCCTGAGGCAGGCGAGTGTAACAGGAGCACACTGCACACATCAGAGAGGCTAGGGAGGTCAACTATGCTTAGTCTATATTTCATAATATAAAGCTGAATTTCTGTCTGGGTCAGCTTGATAATTGGCAGAATGCTTTCTGGTGGTGTTGAACTCTTTGTTTCAAAGCACAAGGAGTAACTGTTAACCAAGAACAAAACATCTGCCATGGAAAGCTTCACTTAAAGCTATCACCTGTTTGTTCCAGAAGTTGGTTTAACATAGACATGAAGGCTACTACAACCTGGCATAGCTCTGACCCATTGTGTAGGACCAAGTGGAATTGGACACTGGGGAAAAGCTATTTTTCTATATTAAGATTTATTTCTAAAAGTAGCTTGGTGATGTGTTTTGAAAACTTGACTCAGTATTGCATACATCTTACCTAAGTCGTTGTTTTTCGTTATAGCATTGGCTGCCCTGGTTCGGGGTCCCTGCTGTGTGAACTGATACCCAAATTTAAGGATATTCGTATTCTCTTCAAGCATCTTGGCCATTTCTAATTCTACAGCTGTGCCCAACTGCTGCCTCTGGAAGGATCAGAAACAAAGAACAGTATTAATAAACAAGATCAAAACACTTTTTAGGTAAAGAAAATTTAAGACCCACTCCCATGATGATTCTGTTGGTCTGTTAAGTTTTCCCAGTTTTTATAACATAAATAAGCAACACATTTTTAAAAGTTCAACAGACACCAAAAGCTCATATAGAAATAAGAAAAGTGTGGATGCTGTGCCACCTCATACCCACAAGGATGGGAATGATGCAAAAGACAGAAAGGCTGAGGAAACAGCTCAGCTGGTGCTTGCCCAGCATCCACGAAGCTCTGGGTTCAATCCCCAGCACTGCACACACCAGGTGTACTGGTGCACCTCTGTGACCCAGTACTGGGGGCTGAAAACAGAATTTTAAGGTCATCTTCTCATACAGAGAAGTTTGAGGCTAACCTGGGCTATGTGAGACTGTCACAACCTTGCCCCTAACTAAACAAACCCAAACCAACAAACTAACCAAACAAGAAGATGGACAAGCAGCAGGCATGGTAGTCTGCACTTTAGTCCCAGGTACCGGACAGGTGAGGTAGGAGAAATGCTTGATCCTAGATCAAGAACAGTCTGGACAATACAGTGTGACCCCTCTGTTTGTTTAATTGGCTGCCACGCATGTAGCAAAGTGGGCTCTTGGGAATTGCTCGAAATACAGAATTATCTTACTCTCTAGTAGTTCTACTCACAGGTATAAGCCCTAAGAAACCTGTATGTTCATATAAAACTTAGATATGAATGTTCACAGGAGCATTATCTTTCTTAATTTTTTAAGACTTCATGTGTGTTTTGCCTGTATGTATGTATGTATGTATGTATGTATGTGCACCATGTGCATGCTTGGTGCCATGATGATCAGAAGAGGCATCAGATTCTCTGGAACTAGAGTTCAAGATGACTGTGAATCACCATGTGGATGCTGGGAATTGAACCCAGGTTCTCTCCAAGAGCGGTAAGGGCTCTTAACTGCTGAGCCATTTCTTCAGCTCTGTAGCATTATTTTAATAGCCCAAAAGTAGAAACCCTAAAATGTGACAGAATATTATGTAGTCATGTACAGACCGGAATTTTGACATGCACCACAACATGGATGAACCTCCAGGAGTTTATGCTAGGTTGAAGAAGCCAGTCACAAAACATCACATACTGAATTACATCTCAATTAAAAATTTGAGATCATGGGCTGGATGTTTAATCTCAGCATTCAGGAGGCAGAGGCAGGTGGATTTCTGTGAGTCTGAAACCAGCCTGGTCTACAGAAAGAGTTCTGGGATAGCCAGGTCTGTTTCACAGAAAAACCTTATGTCGAGAAAAAAAAAAAAAAAAAAAAAAAAAAAGAAATCTTAGTTCAGGTTTTAGATATAACCAAATCTCTTTTTTATCTTCACATTTACAAAATTTATTGATTTTGAAGGACTCAGGGGATCATTTGCCAAATATCTTTTTAAATAACTGAAGTTTTTTGTGTGCATGCATTTGCTTGTGCATGTGTGTGGTGACCAGAGAACACTGAATATCTTCCTCTATCATTCTCCACTTTGTTTTTTGAGACAGGGTTTCTCACTGAACTGGAAGCTCATTGTTTTGGCTAGGCTAGCTGGCCAGTAAGCCTGTGGGATCTGCCTGTTTCTGCTTCTGTAAAGACGGGGTTAAAGATGGGCATTGCCACACCCTGCAATGATTATGCAGCAGGCACTTCACCATCTTCCCATGCTACTTTCCAAATAAAAACTAACAGTTGCTCTATATGGAAATATTTCTAATATGTATATTTTCCCCTCTTAGGAAGTTTGTCTGGGGTCTGGTGAAATGGCTTAGCAGCTGAGAACACTTGCTGCTCTTCCTGAGGACCCAGGTTCGGGTCCCAGCACCCACATCAGGCTCACAACCATCCAGAGAATCCATTACGTCTGACCTCCACATGCACACACACGACTATAAAATAAAAAAACATAAACAAAATGTCTAGGAATAGGTGGCGCCACATCTGATGAAGATGGTGCCCTCAGGGCAACCCGGGTACTGGGATGTTTCTCTCATTGGACCTGACACTTGCTGCCTTGGTTGTCACGCTCCAGGGTTCTGCTTTTTCCTGAGCCCCAATGCTGGAAGTCTTCCAGGCTGATATGGCTGTGGCCGGCTTCTATTTACACAGGTGCTGTAGACTGAACTCAGTTCCTCTACAGATGCAAGCGCTCTCACCCACCGAGGAGTCTCTTCAGCACTGTTTTTCTTCTTTCATGAAATCAACTCTATTTATAGTCTCTGTATTTGGGACTGTAACACATTACAGATACAAAAGGTTTACCCATTGTGTGGCTCTCTCAGAGAGCTGGGAGAAAAAGTGGACTAAGTAACGTGTAAAAGTTTTTCCAGTTCAAATCAGCCACCTATCTAACTCCTTAAATTGACTTAGAGACTCTCTGTATTCACTTGGTATACATTAATATTCTGGATCCCCAAGTGTCTCATCACCCCCTTTCTGCTACCATTTTTCCTGGAGGGCTCCAGCCTTTCTTACAAGCCCTCTTGGCAGTGGGGGCTGCAGTTTCCTCTGAACTGCTACTGTAGAACACCAACCTGATTGTCAATCTTGAGCTCTGTCAGGGTCTCATTGTCTCTCAAAGCATCGATCAGTGCTAAAACCCCAGTGCCTGTGATGAAGTTGGACTCCATATTTAAACTCTTCAAAGTTTTGTTTACTTTCAGCATATCTGCAAATGCCTAGAAATTAAGAGAAAATATTTGAAGCTTAAAATCTGATAGCACCTATTTTTCAGTGCATATACCATAAGTAAATTAATAAATTGAACTTTTGTAAGTTTCTCTTTACATTTCTCAGCTTGTTACATTACTGCTCAGGTCTTACATGTATTTACTTCTCCCATGAATATTATCATACATGATTTTTTTTAAAGGATTCAGGACCTCTTAACCTCTGAGCCATTTCTCTAGCCCCACCATATATAATTTTTAGACCATTTGGTCACATGTAATTTCCTGGTGTTGACATTCCTAACTCCTATTCATATTTCAATATTTCATGTTCATTCACTCTCCACTCCACGTCTCCTCTCTCACTTCCTCTCCGTTTCTGTAAGGAACTAACTCACTAATATCTCTTACGGTTTGTGAGTGGGTTAGACAGAGGTGGCTCACCAAGGAGGCAGCGACAGTAGCCCAGAGAAGAGAAGGCTGCTTGGATCAAGGCAGGAGTAACAAAACGTAAGAAATGGTTGGATTCTGAGGTGATTTTTCTTTCCCTCTTCCTTTTGTTTTTTTAAGACAGGGTCTCAGCTGGGCAGTGGTGTATACCTTTAATCCCAACACCCGGGAGGCAGAGGCAGGCGGATCTCTGTGAATTTGAGACCAGCCTGGTCTACAGAGTGAATTCTAGGACAGCCAGAGCTACATAGAGAAACCCTGTCTTGAAAAGCAATTCAAAAACAAACAAACAAAAAAGATAGGGTTTCATATGTCCCAGGCTGGCTTAAACTCTCTCTGTGGAGCTGAGGATGGTCTTGAACCTTTGATCTTTCTGGCTCTACTTCCTGAATGCTGGGAATAAGTCCAGGACTTTGTGCTTCCTAAGCAAGCACCCAACTCTCTGAGCACCATCTCCCATGCTCCCCATCCTCCTTTGAGACAGGCTTCACAAGTCTGTCTGGCCTAGAACTCAGAGATGAGCCTGCTTCTACCCCAACCCAGACTGTCACAATTAAAGGCTGTACCACTGCACCACTGCACCTGGATCTAGGCCATTAAACAGATATGACTTTGTCTATGTGTGTGCAGATGCATATGCATTACGGTTTGCATAAGTAGGTCAGGGGACAACTTTGTGGAGTCAAGTTTTCTCTTTCTGCCTTTACATGGGTCCCGAGGATTGAACTAAAGTTGTCAGGCCTGTGTAGCATGTGACTTTACTTGCTGATCTATCTCACCAGCCCCATGCTTCTCTCTTTTTTAAGAGAAGATCTCTTGAATACTATTACCTGTGTGAGCCAGCATGGCTATCTGGATTCTAAAGATATTTTGATGACAGGACTATTGAATATATGCTTTAAGGCTGGAAGTTGAGAGTGATTGCTTTTAATCTGGTTCCTGCCTGCCAGGGAAAGCAGACACTGCCACCTAGTGATAAAGACTGTGAGAAAAGCAGGCATGGGATAGATGAGTTCAGTCAGAGTCTCTGACACTTAGGTGGCTGGCTGTCAGTGCAGAGTACAGGACATAGGTACATCGGGGGACGATAGCATTGAAGTGAAGAGCTTGCCCAGGCAGTAGTAAAGGTGAAAAGAAGAAAGCCCCGGGCCCCTCCAGTGTTCAGAAGAAGAGTGTGTGTGGCAACCTGGGAACTAGTGAAGCTGGGGAGAACCAAAAGGAGTGAATGCTGCAGAGCAAGGAAAGAAAAGGTTCTTAGTTAGGACACTCAGTGTGGTTTTCCCAAGGAATGCAAGGCTTGTTCAATACACAGTCGGTGTTGGTTTTTAAAGGACAAACACCACATACTCATCTCCAGGGAAAGCATTTGATAAAAATCCCAAATCAGGCCCCTAAATGGGATCTTGCACAGATGTTAAGGATACAGCAGACCTTTGTATGCTGACACAAAAAGATCTCTAACATAAAGTTGAATGAAAAATCAAAATCAAATTCTTTTTTTTTTTTTTGTGGTCCTGGAGCTTAAAGACAGGGACTCACATAGTCATATTTTCAGGAACCATTTATGCTTAAAAAAATGAGGAGCCTAAGGCAGTAAGATCATTAACTTGACAGCAGCCTAGGTTACCCAGTGAGTATCTTGGGAAGTTGCTATCTTGGGAATCTACCTCTTTCCTGCCCAAAAAGAGGAATAAAATAAATGATAAATATAAATAAAATTTAAAAAATACAAAAGGGTACATAATGTAATGTCGAATAGTGAGGTAAAATGCCAGGTGAAAAAAAGAGAATAAGCCATATTCATTCACTCACACACACACACACACACACACACACACACACACACACACACACACACACACACACAAAATCACAGTTTGGGCCAATGAGATGGCTCGGAAGGTAAGGGCACTGGCCTTGAAGACTGACAAGCTGAATTCCATCCCCCGGACCCACATGGTAGAAGGAGAGAATCGACTCTTGAAAGTTGTCCTCTGACCTCCACATACATACTGTGACACATATGTACACACAACACACACACATGCGCCCCAAATGAATGAATGAATGAATAAAAGTGAAAAGAAGCCACAGTATGAGAGAGTGGAGTGGTTCACAAGAACTGGGGAGTTCAAGACCATCTCCACTACACATGGAATTCCAGGCCAGCCTTGGATATGGGAGACAAATTGGTTTACCCTCACTATAACACTGGTCTGTAGACATCAGCTGGGCATCACTGACAATGTCAATCATAGCATACTTACGACAGCCACGGGGTCATTGCTCCTGGTGGCTGCAAGACTGAAATGTCTCACATGTGTGTTGGTTTTCAGAGCCTTGGCAAACTCTTTTAGAGTTGGAATTGGGATGTTCTTGAAAGACAAAAATGTGAAACACCATCAACATTTAGTTTTCTGGAAATTTAATTCATTAATCAAATACATTTATCCTTACCAATTGCTTTAAAACATACTCAGGAAGTACGAAAACAGTCTAGTCTACAAAGCAAGTTCTAGGACAGCCAGGACTACATAGAGAGACCCTGTCTCAAAACAAACAATAATACTAATTTGAAATAACAAAAACAAATAGATCTCAGACAGCCAATTTCTAGGCATTTGGTCAAGAGAAAAAAAAACCTGTACTTTTTCAAAGGCCTCACATGTAAATGTGTGCAGCCACTTTACACATCAAATTCCAAACTGGAAGCAACTCATGTCAGCTAACTGACTCGTGGATGAACAAACTGCAGCATATCCTAAGAGAGGATGACCACATGAAAAAGAACTGTAGTCACACCTATGACCCTGGCTAAACTGATGGATAACGAAGCAAAACAAAAAGACACGGATGCGGGAAAGAAACTTGTGGAGGAGAGAGAGGGTAGCATCAGAGATGAGAGGGAGACAGAAGAGGAAGTGGGGGCAATGGTAATCAGAATTGTGTGTGTGCGTGTGTATACATAAAAAAGAAAAAAAGAAAAAGAACAAACTAGTGGCATCTATACAACATGATGGATGAGCCTCAAATGCATTATGCCAAATGGAAGACTCAAGAAGATGCAAATTTGATTTCATTTACAAGGCTGGAGAAGGCAAAATGAACAGCTGTAAGGGGCAGAGTGGACAGAGAATAACAAAGGGGCCTTAAGAGCTTCTGACATTACAGTCAGTCAGTCAGTCTGGTGTTTACTTTTTGTATTTCATAGCTTTATATCCCAGGTCTGTACATTAAAACTGTACATTTTAACTATTAAAAATACCTTAATAAGCTCAATTAAAATTAAAAACAAAGGCTAAAGTTTTTTGTTTTTTTTTGGTTTTACGAGACAGCGTTTCTCTGTATTGTTTCGGGGGCTATCGGTCCAGCCTGGCCTCGAACTCACAGAGATCCGCCTGCCTCTGCCTCCCGAGTGCTGGGATTAAAGGCATGCGCCACCACCACCCGGCCAAGGCTAAAGTTTTTAAAAGTGGGCAGTACTTTAAAAATTAGAGTAACTTATTGACAATGTATAGGGACACATTCTTATATGATAAACTTTTTAAAAAGCAAGTAACTATATACATATTTTGTTTTTTTGAGACAGGGTTTCTCTGTGTAACATCCCTGGCTGTCCTGGAACTCACTCTATAGACCAGGCTGGCCTCAAACTCAGAGATCCATCTGCCTCTGCCTCTCAAGTGCTGGAATTAAAGATGTGTACCACCACTGCTGGGCTAACAAAATATTTTCTATAACACTTGAATGTATAAACTTTGAAGGAGTCTATGCTCATATACTGTTAATATACTTGATCTTAAAGCAGAAATTAAGACTACATACCAGAACTGTCCTGGGTTTGGTTGACTCATAGCAAACATCACGTGTTAATGTTGATATATATGTTACTTACTTTTATATTATTCAAATTAACTTCAACAAGACGGGCATCATTTTCCTTAATTCTCTTTAAACTCTCCTCAACGTTGGTCGGATTTGGTGGCTCATCAAATACCGGAATAATTGTTTCACCTTTTACCACATCTGTAGGAACAAATGGAAGGGCAAGGGTGGACTGGTGACTCTACAAGAGCAGTAAACTCGTAACTGCTGAGTCATCTCTCCCACTTTGAGATGTCTGTTTTGTACTGTATATGTTTATCATGTTTAAATATGCTACAATAGCATGTATTTACCTGGAGAATCTAACTATACCCTATATTTTTAAAAATGGAACTTTGTTAGATTTTCCATGGATTTCTTAAAACTAGAAACACAAAAATAAAATGTTGACAAAAACTACGTATGATTGGACTGGGGTTACTCAATGGCAGAGTTCAATTGGTATGCTTAAGGTCCTAGGTTGACTCCCCACACTGCAAAAACAACTCATAAAAACTGAGACAATTAAAAACCCTAAGCTTACCTAGTTTTCATACTGCTTGTCATTACTATTTATGTGGCAAAAGCAGTACCTATTACATCTGCCAATACATTAAGACTAAAATACTGCCAAGTATAGTGGCACATGCCAGCACACAGGAGGCAGAGAAGAGACAGGCAGATCTGAGTTCAAGGTCAGCCAACGCTATACAATGAGATCCTACTTAGAAAAAAAACACCCCAAAACCAAAAACTAACATACTAATTATTTTATTTTAAGAATTTAATTTAAAAAGTATTTTAGTTTACATGTATGTATGCCACTTGTGTGTAGTAGGGACTTGGAGGCCTGGACTGGGGATGGGATTCCCTGAAGCTGGAGTTATGGGTAGTTGTAAGCTGTACAAGGTTGGACCTGAACTTCCATCCTCCAGAAGAACAGGAAGTATTCCTAGCGATGGGACTACAGGCATGAATCACTACATCTGACTAAATTTTATATTTTAATGTTTTCTGTAACAGTATTAAACTTGAATTCTAAGCTTAATCCATCCATCCATCCATACATGTATGTATATATATATGATATTTGGTGTAATAAATACCAAAGTTAATACATGGAAGAAGCAAAACATATTTGACAAAGGACCGGAATTCTCAAGGCACTTTGATTACTCACTTGAAAAATGTTCTTGGTCGACACCATTACTGCTTCCCATCACGTCACAGAACTGTGTGTTTGTAATCAGACTGTGCATCCCAAGGATAGCTGCAGAGAGAACAGAGTTCGTTTTCTACTTCTACCTGCTCTAAACACTTTCATTTTTATTGTTCTTACGTGGAATCCTGCTGTGTTGCTCAGGCAGGCCTCTAACTCCTGGGCAGAAGGAGTCTTCATGCCTTGAGCCTTGCAAGTAGCTGTTCTTATAGATGTGTGCCCAGTACCCAGTTTGCAAATAAAATTTTTTATTAATACTTTTAGCATTCTCCAAACATTTCCCTATTAAACTGAAAACAAGAGAGTAGGGTGGTGTAGTGGTTAGAAATCACCGACAATCTCCCGTTCATTTTCATCAATACCCTTGTTATTTCCCAGCACCTTTAAATTAGACAAGCATGGGTCAGGTGGACCCTAAAGGAGATCTATGCTTTGCTCCACCTGGTGGCTAAGAGAGGAAACACAAAAGATCTACTTGCTGTTCGCTGTCTAGGTTTCTAGGAACAAAGCACAGTCCAAACAAGGCTGGGCATGGTGGCACAGCCCATGACTGCACTAAAAGTACTGTTAAGTTCTTTCATTCAAGGTAATGTAGCATCCTCAGAAAATTCAAGTCTTTTCTGTCCTCTCTGATGAAGGTACCATCTACAAACCCACCAGTCCTTTGCCCCTCAAGAATATCCCACCTTCTCCAGCTGTGACGCCACACCTCTCCCTCTGCCCCTTCCCAGGAACCTTCACTCCACTTCCCGACATGTCTGGTATTCAGGTCTTCCTACACACATTTTCCACCAGGGGAGGGTGCTATGTAAAAGCTGGTGATGTGGACTCAGGAAGTCTGCAGTGCTCCATGTCACTTGGGTAGAGCTGGGGTGTGAACACAGCTTTTGATTTCTATTTACTATCCATGAAACAGGAGAGAAGCTGACCCTGACGTCAGTTTCTAGCGCTCAGATGGGACAGTTTCACCAGCTGGTGACATGGCTTTTGTTGTTGTTGTTAGAAAGACTTTAAAATACAGCAACATAGGAAAAAGTATCAAATAAGACATTTTATCGTGATAAAATTTCACCATAGAGGGTACTTAAAGGAATCAGGTTTACTGTGGAAAGTACAGAGGGAGTGTATAATACATGCAGGTATGCCCTGCATGGCTCTCCCCACACCACACTCATTTAAATTTTGAGTAGATACCTGCAAGGTCACACAATTCTGTATCAGAGGCACTTGTCAAAGCTTCTTCTAATTCTGGATCAAGGGATATGTTTTCTTCTGCAAAAGTCTGCACAGGCTTCTGTTTGGGGATAAAAATTTTCCCTAAAAACAAGCACACACATTTGTTATTCATTTCTACTAGTTCATTACATCTTTCCCTTCTAATAAACATTAGGCGAGGCGCGTGCAACTGCAATGGACAAGCAGGTCAAGCTTGAACACCGAGAGTCACATACTGGCTATACACGTAGGAACGGAAGAATCTCTGAGAAATTTCCCTGGCTCTGAAAATAAAAATGGCTCTTTTTGTTTTCTGCTTTGTTTTGAGATAGAATTTCACCATGTGGTTAGAACTTTCTATGTGGCCCAGACTGGCCTTGAACTTCTTATGTGGCTTAGCCAGACTTCTATGGTCCTGCTGAGCAGCACTTGGCTCATGCTTTGGCTGTGACGGTGATAAGCAAGCATCCCAAACAGCAACAACATTGCCTGACGTCCTGCTGAGCAATGAAGTGCATGTCTATGTTCCTCTGATCCCTGCACATTCCCCCAACAAGGTCCCAGGCATACAGTGTGTGCCTCCCTCTCCTGAGCTCTTCAAGAACAGAATCTATGTTCTGGTTGTCTCATATTCTTGCATAGAACATACACAGTAGGCAGTCCAACCTGCTGAATAACTACTCGGTGAGCAACTCTTTAGTCCAAATAGCCTCGCTTTATAAAGCACAATTTAAACATGCTGGTTCAAAGGTGAGATAAGTACCGAGAAATGATTTTATTTTATAAATATGGGTGTTTTGTCTATGCACCACATGAATGCCTGGTGCCCACAGGGGCCAGAAGAGGGCATCAGATCCTCTGGAACTGGATGGGTCTTCTAGAGGACAAGTCAGTGCTCTTAACCACTGAGCCATCTTTCCAGGCATGGAATACAAGTTTCCAAACTTACCTCAGTGCTTCTTCCAATAAGTTGGATGCTTAAAAAGTTTAATTATTTATAGTAGGAGACCTTCCCCTCACAACAAACAAATGTGTTGTGGTGATTAGATAATTTTTATTTTATGTTCATGAATGTTTCTTCACACATTTACATTTGCATGTTTGGTGCCCAGAGAGGCTAGAAGAGGGTGTTGGATCTCCCAGAACAGGATTTACAGTTGTGAACCACTGTGTGTATTCTGGAAACTAAACTTGTGTCCTTTGTAAGAGTAGCAAGTGCTCGTAACTCCTGAGCCATCTCTCTAGCTTTTTAGGTAATTTTTCATTATTGGTTCATAATTAAAGGCAAATCCAAATAATCACACTGGTTACTATTATAATGAAAATGGTACACAAGGGGCTGGGAGTATGGCTCAGTGGTAGAGTGTGTGCTTAGCATGCACAGGCTCCAGGCTTGGCCTCCAACATAAAGCAGGGTGGGGGCACATACAGTTTAGTAGGAATGACTTCTACTGCCATCACATTTTTCTGGGCCCAAATTTGCCCGCATCCCCTGCTGCTCATAGCTGGTTCTAAATAGTGAATGCACACTGGACTTGGCAACACGTTTTGAGAAATTCTAATATCTGAGTTCTCTGGCATATTAGTTGGTCTGATGTGCTGCTGGTAGCATCTGCATTCGAATAGGCAGCAGGCAAGGTTGAGAACCACTGGATTATGGTATTCAGTGACTAAATAAAACCACATGAGTTATTTGCCACAAGAAAATTTAAAAATATGTGAGGCAATGCATATATCAAATATCTTGATTTTGCCATTCTATACTGTATACATATATAAAAAGTTTTGTTGCAAATTATAAACATACATAGTTTCTATTTTTGTCAAGTAAAAAAAAAAAGCTGTTGTGGGCTTATGTGGGAGCTAGAAGCAGAGGTTCAAGATCACCCTTAGGTCTAACATATACTAAGTTTGAGGCCCGCCTACACTCAACAATATTTTTAAGACATTGTCTTAAAAAATAAAAATAGAAAAGAAAATGAGAAAGAAAACCACTCAAAACTACCAAATAGTTGTCCAAACATCCTAGAGGAGCTGAAGGAATCTAAAGCATTGTAAAACTCTAAGATGTTTATTTTTGTAATCCTCACCCACATTTCTTAAGAAGTATTATTCATATCTCATTTTCTACACCCACAAAATTTTGCTAATGCTTAAAAGCACAAAATAAGTCTTAGTAGAAAACAGACCAAACAAAAAACAAGTCAAAGAAAAACTTCTGAAGACCTATGGAAATTCTAACAGATTTTTATCTTTATTTTTTGGAATCAAAAATAGAGACATGGTTACACATTTTTAAAGTAAGCTAGTGGCTGCCTATTGCTATGGAGTAGAATGAAGAATATGGCAAGCTTTCTTTGGGGCATGATGAAGACTAAAGATTGTTCTAAACTAAAGATTGTGGGAATTGTTAAATAATTCTATGAATATGATCAGCATTACTGCATTATATACCTTAAATGGAGAGATTTTTATGGTACAGGAACTTCCTTTTACATAATCTTAATAACAAAACATGGTTTTTGGACACCATTTTATTTTTAATTGTGTGTGTGTGCAATGTGAGTGGTCTCTATTTGACTGACTTTAATTTCTTTGTTTAACAAAATCCAGAACTGGAATTTTTAAATTGAAATTAATTTTTTACTGTGTAGAAAAATATAAACAATGACTACACCAGGAAAAATGATCTCTGGAACAAGTATGAAATTGGTCCTACTCCTAAATGAAACAAAACAAGTAACAATGGGAGTTTAAGTCTTTGATACAGAACTTCAGACATCACCAAAACCTGTCCATACAGCTGCTGTAAAGGCACGTAAGTACATCTTTCTGACTCACTTAAGAGTCAAATGGTCTTCACATACTCAACGAAGTATGTGAAGTTTCTTTTAGAATAATGGAGAATATAAGACTTCTGGAAAGCTGAGGCAATTGCAAGTGAGTTGAAACATTATTTAAGAAGTCATTGACTTAAGACAACCTGGTTAATTCACCTTTAGGAAACAAGGTGCAGTGTATGGGAATCACAGGAAGGAAACCAGGGATATTACATTCTCAGATTGGAAAGGAAGAAAAAGAAAAGAAAGAAAAAAAGAAAAAAGAAAAAGAAAGTGCAGAGGGTTCTACCCCAAGGACTAGCAGAGAACAGGAGTGTTCCCTAAGGAATGGGAGGGGCCCATCCCTGATGAGTCAGAGTTCAAACAATCCAATGGAACACACCTATCTGCAGCAAATAGACTGCAGTCATGGCACTGAAATAATGGACATTGGAAAAAAAGTCGATAAAAGTGAAGCATGGACCGGGGCGGTGGTGGCACACACCTTTAATCCCAGCATTGGGGAGGCAAAGGCAGACGGATCTCTGTGAGTTCGAGGCCGGGCTGGCCTCCAAAACAATACAGAGAAACCCAGTCTTGTAAAAACCAAAAAAAAAAAAAAAAAAAAAAAAAAAGAAAAAAGAAAAAAAAAAGTGAAGCATGGCATGGGCAAAATGGAGAAGGATTCTCACAGCAAAGCAACATGAAAGACAAAAAGAAATATTAAAGACTGGGCACAAAGTCTATTCGAGTGATAAATTCATGGGACATCTCTATGCCTTATTTAATTCTGAGACAGACTATTGATGACATGCAGAAGTATGATGGGAAATACTTAGCCATAGTCAGCACTGTGCATGTTCATTATTTTTGGAAAGAGCTAAGTAAATACTTTCATTCATCTTTGTCTTTGACTATGCCCAGCTATCCATTTTGCAATTTTATCTTAATTTATTTGTGTGTGTGTGTGTGTGTGTGTGTGTGTGTGTGTGTGGTAAGAGATGAGGTCTCATGTAGCTTTAGCCCAGGCTAGCCTCATACCCTTGATTCTCTTGCTTCCACTTCTCAGTGTCAGGGTTATAAACTACACCACCACGCCCAGTTTATGCAGTGTTGGGAATTGAACCCAGGGTTCTTATATGACAGACAAGCTTCTACCAACTGAACTATATCCCTACCACTATTTTTGCAAGTTTAAAGAAGCAAAAAGCCCACGTCTTTTTCACATTTTAATGTAATATCTATAATGTAATATACACTTACAATTTTAATTTTTAAACATTTAGAAACATAAAGAAGATATTTGTATTAATCTGTCAAGATTATTTCCTATCACGACAGTATTTTTTTTTTAAGATTTATTTATTATGTATACATCATTCTGCCTGCATGCCAGAAGAGGGCACCAGATCTCATTATAAATGACTGTGAAACACCATGTGGTTGCTGGGAATTGAACTCAGGACCTCTGGAAGGGCAGTCAGTGCCTTTAACCTCTGAGCTATCTCTCCAGCCCCACATGACAGTATTTCTAAAGGAGCTTGTTAGAGTTAGATGAACTGAACAGATGCATGCTGTGGATCTGCCTATCTGGGGAGGCAGCTCAATGGTGGAATGTTTTTGTTTATCATGCACAATTAAGCCACCTGGGCTTAATCCAGTGGTTCTCAACATGTGGGTTGTGACCCTTTGAGGGTCAAATAACCCTTTCACAGGGATCACTTAAGACCATCAGAAAACATGATATTTACATTATGATTCATAACAGTAGCAAATTCACAGTTATGAAGTAGCAACAAAAATAATTTTATGATTGGGGTCACAACATTTATTGAAGGGTTGCAGCACTAGGAAGGTTGAGAACCACTGGCTTAATCTCTAGCACTGCAAAAGAAGAACGAACTAAAACTATTCTTAGTGAGGCATAGTGGCTCACACCTGTAATCCCAACACTCTGGGAAGCTGAAGCAGGAAGACTGGGTCAACCTTAGCTCGTTCCAGGCCAGTCAAGACCAGCAGGACACTATCTTAAAAAAAAAAAAAAAAAAAAAAAAGAATAACAAAAAACCTCACCACCATAATTCTTCCCTATCAGGTAACCTAAATGTTGCCTTACAAGGATGCTGGGTAATTTACAAAATAGTTTTCATGGGCAGGAGAGATGGCTCATAGGTTAGGATGTTTTCCACCAAGTCTAATGACCTGAGTTCAATTACTAGAACCGACAGAGCAGAAAGAATATCCACTCCTGCACACTGTTCTCTGAGTCCCACATGCACACTCACTCACACACATATCCACACATACAATCAGAAAATAAAATACATGAGTAAATGCAATAAGGGAGAAAGCAAATCTGGGGCTGGAGAGATGGTTCAGTGGTTAAAAGCACTTGCTGCTCTTTCAAAGGACCAAATCTCAGCAGCCATATTGGATGACTCACAACTGCAGTTATACAACTCCCTCTCCTGGCCTCACAAGAACCTTACACATGGCTGCATAGAACATACACAGATACAAGCACATACACATACTTTTTTAAGAAAAGAAACCCCAAATTAAAAAAAAACAAACTGGTTTTATTGTATCAAGGAACTTACCTATGTACATAATTGTACCCTATATGTTCATATATTTGGTTCTTTTTTTTTTTTTTTTTTTTGGTTTTTCGAGACAGGGTTTCTCTGTGGCTTTGGAGGCTGTCCTGGAACTCACTTTGTAGACCAGGCTGGCCTCGAACTCACAGAGATCCGCCTGCCTCTGCCTCCCGAGTGCTGGGATTAAAGGCGTGCGCCACCAACACCCGGCTCATATATTTGGTTCTTATTTTATGGATTTTGATAATTTTTAATTATGTATTTGAGTGGGGTGTATGTGCAAGTGAGTGCAGGTTCCTCAGAGGCCAGAAGGGGGTGTTGGAATCTTTGGGGCTGGAGCTACAGGCAGTTGTGAGTTGTACCACATGGATACTGGGAACCGAATACAGGTCCTCTGGAATAGCAACAAGTGGTCTTAACCACTGAACCATCTCTCCAGCCTTTACTGTAACTTCTGTAGTATAACCTGCACATAAGCTAAGCCATCTTGCAGAATTTTCTATCTAGATGTCCTTTAAAGTAAAAGTCATATCTGTCCTTAGTTCCCTGTCTCTTGTTTCTTCACACATGCCCCACTTCTAAGTTACTTACGCTAACCACTCTTCTTGAACTGCAACTTCAGCTAGTAAACTTTTTCCCTCTGAAAAGTAAAGTTCATTCTAAGTCACGTCTTCATGTGTTGTTTGTTCTTGTTTATTGATTAAGGAAGATAAATGTAGTAAGTAAATGAGTGAATTAGATACTACAATATAAAATAGTTAAGACTAGAAAAATTTCCTCAAACTCACCATAGGGAACATTAGCAAACAAAATTATGATGTATTACGGAAGACAGCTAAGAAAGGTTATCTTTGGAAAAGCATGAATTATTTTATGGAATTTCACTCTAAAGAACTTTAAAGTGTTAGTGAAGAACATTCCTTTGCCAATGCTTGCACTCTGTAATAAACTAGAGGTTTTAAATTTGCTTTAACAACTTGTAGGTATGAAGTAATGTTATACGAAGTAATATAACCTATGTAATAAAACCTCACTAATGAATAATTAAGACAAAAATCTCACTGGATAAGTTGATAAAATATAAGTGAAGTGTCTAAACTATCTGATAAACTTTTAGATGGGCAGTACTATATCTTTACAGGCTGATAATTATGGACATCTAAAAATAATTTTCTCCCTGGGTATCCACTGTAACAAGAAGCCAACGCTGCTGAATGACACACAGTCCTAGACTCACCTTTTTTCTCTCCAGTGTAGGGCACATAGTCCTCCCGGTCTTTATGCTCCAATGCTTCCTTCTCTAGGTAAGAAAGGAGATGTTCTCTATCAAAGGGTCCCGTGGCAGACTTTGATGTCTGGTTCTTCTGCCGAAACCCTGCAGGCAGAAGGGCATTCTGCCAAAGAGAATGAGTCAGCTATTATGACCACCAAATTACCAAGAATGCCAATACTACATGCTTCTATAGATTTCCATGTAAGAAAGATCAAGAAACTAGCATGGCACAGGCATCAAACACCTCCTTGCAGGACTTTAGGATAGTCATGTGGGAAGTATTCCAATTTTTTTTTATTTACGAATGGATTTATTGATTTTGGGCATTGGGGAATGCATGTGTCATGGCATGTATGTAGAGATCAGAAGACAACTTTTGGGAGTTGGTCCCCTCCTTCCACTGGAATCTTACATAGGTTGTCAGACTTATTGTAACTGCTTTTATTGCTACCTGACCTGACTGGCCCACAAGTCCAAACAACAGCAACAACAATTTCCTTAATGCTTATAAACGACCAGTAAATATGTACATTAGGGGCTGGAGAGATGGCTCTGTGGTTAAGAGCACTGGCTGTTCTTTTAGGACCTAGGTTCAGTTCCCAGCACTCACATGGCAGCTTACAACTGTCTGTAACTCTAGTTCCAGGGGATCTGACATCTTCACACCAATGCATATAAAATAAATTAAAAAATGTGAACATAAACTAATTCTATCACAAAAGAACTGTAAACTACTATATGTTATTCCTTCTAATGACTTCCATTTGATCACAGAGCTCCCCCCCCAAGACAGGGTTTCTCTGTATTGTTTTGGAGGCTGTCCTGGAACTCACTCTGTAGACCAGGCTGGCCTCGAATTCACACAGATCCACCCGCCTCTGCCTCCCGAGTGCTGGGACTAAAGGTGTGCACCACCAATGCCCGATGATCACATAGCTTTTATCAAGATAAAAAAAATACGGTCCAATATAAGACTGTTTATTTGATTTAAATCTAGTACAAACCTTTGTTCACTGTGTATGTGTCCATATGTACACACGAGTGTTAGTGTATGCTAGTAGCAATTACTGTCACTGCAATGCACGCCTCATGGTACCCTGCATGCAGAAGAGCTAAGCTGAAGCTGCCCTCTGAAGTCAGGACTTTGAATGTGTATTAAGACCAGGAATAACAGGGTGACAAGACAAAGTGAACACCACCCTGCTTGACAAAAGTCAGTTTCAACCAGGCATGGGGGCACACGTCTGTACTCTCAGTACTTGGCAGCAGAGACAGGAGGATCTGGAGGTCATAGCTGAAAAGGGGTAAACTAAATTCAAGGGCTTCACTTCTAATAATTTAGAAATAAAGGGATCAGACCCTCACTCAGCCCCCTGCTTTAGCAGCCATGACAGGCTACAGAAATGACATGAGGCCTCTGACTCAAGGAAACTCCAGATCCTCTGGCTTCTCGGAGTGCCCCCCCCAGCCTCCTAGATGTTGGGTTTCTGGGAACTGTTTGGCCACAAAAGAAACTCCAGGGGAGACCAAAAACTCTGCTGTAGTCTCCAGGACATAGTTCTGAAAACTATTGGTATCTATGTGCAACAGGCCACCTGCAAGTAACAAGACAATGCCATAGAAACCACAGAATGTTCCCTCTCAGTACTGACCAATGAAAATAATTGGTACACAGGTATTTCATGCCAAAATATGACTTTGAGAAATGCTCTTAACTGTTCCCAAATGTTAACCAATCAGAAACCAACCCGTACCTACTGATGTAATCCTGTAACTTTTATCTATAAAACCTAACAGTAGACAGGGAACTTCACTTCCTCTGGGGGCTGCTTTGACAGCTAGCCAGACGGGGTCCCTGTCATGGGTGGATGAACAATCATTACACCTTGCTTTTGCAGTTTAGTGGGTCTGTCCTCCTGGTGGCCTCTGGGGACTTTGCAACTTGGGCACAATAGCCTGGCCAACCTGGGTTATAAGAGATCTTGTCTTAAAAAGCATAAGACAGACTGCATGCCTCATATTCTTGAGTATTCCTTGCTGTACAACTGAGACAGCCAGAGAAGACAACACCTCCTATTACTATCAGTGATGTTCAACCTCACAGATGGTATACACTTTTATTACAAAAGGTGATTTTTCTATGGATAATAATAGGAAATGATTACTTCATAACTAAAAATATCATGTTTACACTTTGGATATTTCTGAACTCAACAACAGTTTTTATAAAATACTCATTACTTAGACTAACCACTAACCCTGAATGAGTTAAGAAACTGACTACAGTCAGGCAGTGGTGGTGCACACCTTTAATCCCTGTGCTTGGGAGGCCAAGGCAGGAGAATCTCTATGAGTTTGAGGCCAAGCCGGTCTACAAAACTACACAGGGAAACCCTGTCTCAAAAAAACAAAAAAACAAAAAACAAAAAACAAAAAACAAAAAAACAAAAAACAAAACCCAAAAAACCAAAAGCCAAAGCAAACAAAAAAACTGACTTTGGAACTATAAAGAATAAACATGAGATTTCTACCTTTAGATGTTGAAATCGGAGAAGAACGACAAAGAACACATTCAGCCTGCAAGTTTATCTAGTTTTACTTTCCAAAGAATTCAATCATCACCTCCCCATCTCTGATGCTGTGACTTGCACGCAAGCTCTGATGCGAGCGTGGCTGGAAAGTTACACTAGTGTAACTGACCTCAGGACATCAGGTGTCTGCTCTCATCCTTCCTTCATGCCCTCTTCTGTTAGTCCAGAACACCTCCATTCTTGATACACTGAACTATTTCCGTCCTTGCTCTTGTCATACACCTCCTTCAACCACAACCTTTAAATATGTGAATTATTTCCTTCCTCTGAAGGTTCTGTCCATCCCTTCCAGTTACTCCTTAGGTCTGCAGCATGTGCCCCCAAATGTTTTTCCTGATGCCTCATTCATAAGTTACTGTCTGTAGCACTCATCATTCTTTTTAACACAGTTTTGTTATCTGAGTCTAGTTTTTCCCATTCCTACTAGCCTGCATAACGGGGGCAAAAATTACATTTTATTTGTTTAATATTGTGTTTCCTAAGTGTAGCATACTAACCAGGAACTGCAGGTTGTCCCTCAAACATTTACTGAATAAGGATTTCAGAGCTGGGGAATGAAGCTTAGTATAGAGCACACACTTGAGTGTAGGGAGTGGAGGAAGCCCTTAGTGAGTGAAGTCTTGAGTGAATGTGTATTGTTGACATAGGCATGGCCATGTCAAGGACCCCATAGTCTTAGAAACAGGGAGAAAATGGTAAGGCCTTCTCCTTGGGGATGGAGCTTAGAAGAAAATGGTGAGCCTTTCCCTTATGGTCCATGTGTGGATGTTGACAGTGTGTGTAAAAATGTCCATCATAGTTTTCTCTCCCTGGATTTCACAGCTGGAGGACTGCTCCCCATTGGAGACTGCTCCTACTGAAGCAAAGTGCTGTTATATATTCTATAATGCACAGGACAGCTCCTCACAAAAGTCATCAACGCAGGTTGAAAAAAAACAAAAACAAAAAACAAACAAACAAAAACCAGTTTCTTACATGCTTTCTAGTTCTTAAACCATTTGATTTAAATTGGTCTCATTGACTGCCAAATGTATTGTTGACAGCGCCATGATCCTGAGCAATCCCTCAAACTTAGGTATGAAAAGTTTTTCTTGTAATAGTAATTGTGGTCAAAGGACTTGACTTATGGTATAGACATACCACCTAGCAACAAAAACAATCTTATAAAGCACATTTTTAACATGCTAGAGGCCTAAAATCTCATGATACCGAAATTCTCTCATTCTCTCAGTCTCTCTCCTCTCCCCCCCCCCCTCCTGTCTGTCTGTCTAGGTTTTCAAGATAGGGCTTCTCTGTGTAGCAGTTCTGGATGTCCTGGAATTCACTCTGTATACCATCCTGTCCTGGAACTCATAGAGATCTGCCTGTCTCTGCCTCCCAAGTGTTGGGATTAAAGGTGTGCACTACCAGAGATACCTCAACTCTTAAAGGGCATATAAAAACCAATGGCTTTAAAGCAACATGGTGAAGTGTAATGTGCATTTTTCCCGCCAGCCGCTGGGTCCCATCACTGCTTAGCCCCCAAATAACACATGAGACACTGTATTAATTATGAAGCTGTTGGTCATTACTATGGCTTCTTAATGGCTATCTCTGACTTCATTAATAACCCATAATTACTAATATATATTTCTATAAGGACTTATCTTTTGGAGGACAGCATCCTGACACGCCCTTTCTTCCCCAGGATAACATGTCGATGACTCTCTTCAATAAATTTCCCAAAATTCTCCTAGACTCCTAGTCCCACCTATCTTGTTTCCCTATTGGCCAACAGTGCTTTATTCATCAACGTATACACAGAAAGACTTCCCCATCAGTAAAGATTTGCAAATAACCACTACCTTACAGTTCTTCCTTGTGCCCACTCCTTCTTGAGTCACACATCAAAGTTTAAAGGGTTCCACATTAGCCTTGTGCAGCATATGAGACAATTAACAACTACTTGACAAATACAAACAAGTGTACATCTACAATGTCCTTGATTTAACAATGGTTCAACTCTAAGATGGTGTAAAGGTGCTCCCACACAATCATTAATTCTCATTCTCAGGATAGCACACAACTTACACGACGTATTCAATAGTTTATTACAAATTAAGCTTTACATTAGATTATTTTTCCCAAATGTTATTTAAGTGTTCAGAGCACACTTAAGGGAGGCTATGTAGAGCTATGATGTTGGTAGACCAGGTATATTAAATGCACTTCAATGTATAATATTTGTAACCTAGGATGGGTTTACCAGGGACATAAGAGCATTGTTAAGAAATATGTGTGCTCAGATTTGCATCTTAGAACTGGTCTACCAATGCTAATAACTTACACCATTTGGTCATCCTTTCTCCAGGACTGTTATAATTTGGTTTAGGCCATTAAGAACATTATAGGGGCACAGTACACTAGCACCAGTCTCGTATAGGAATTTTGAAGAGAAACAGATTAGCATAAATTAAAGAGCTAATTAGCTATTGCTACTTTCAATTGCACAGAGGCAAGTTTGTAGTTGAGAAAAAAATTGTGTAGATGTTTAACAATAGTTTAGAATGTCTGTCATAAGATGTGAAGACCTAGAGAAGAAGCAAAATGCCATTTCATTTGGATAGAAAGTAGGCGAAGGGGTACTAGGGAAAGCCATGAGAAAGCAAGTTGGCAGTCTGAAAAGCTACTGCATTTCTCTTCTTTGGCTAGCACCAACCTCAGGGTCCAGATCATCCAAGACAGTTTCAAGCTGTTTCAGCTCTGTTTCTGACAGATTGCCAAGGAGCTCATCTTCATCCAGGTCCTTATACTCCGTTAAGTCCTTCCGGAACGGCAGTGCCATGGTTCAAAGTGTAGGAAGTCACGTGATTTGCCAATTCTTTTAGCTATGGAGGGAAGAAACAACCATTTAAACATAAATTTAGTTGCATCTATTATTGGGGAAAGGGAAATGCTATGTCATTTGCCACACACATTTTTTTTTTTTTTTTGGTTTTTCGAGACAGGGTTTCTCTGTGGCTTTGGAGGCTGTCCTGGAACTCGCTTGGTAGTTCAGGCTGGTCTCGAACTCACAGAGATCCGCCTGCCTCTGCCTCTCGAGTGCTGGGATTAAAGGCGTGCACCACCAACGCCCGGCTCACACACATTTTTTTTTGTTTGTTTGTTTTTAGAGACAGGGTTTCTGTGTAACAGCCCTGACTATCCTGGCACTCACTCTGTAGATGAGGCTGGCCTTGAACTCACAGAGAGCCACTGACCCCTGCTTCCTGAATGCTGGAATTAAAGGCATGTACTACCACCGCCTGGTTTGTCATATATTCTTGATCATATCATATGCTACTCTTACCTACAGATCACTCATGCCTTCACTATTTTGTCTCTGTAGAAAAATAATCAAGGGGGGGAGGAAGTGAATATGAAAACCATTAAAACAATAACTTGATAGAATAACAATTTCTGATACCTGAATTTTAGTGGCAAAATAAAATAATTTTCTTTTGCAAAAACAAATTTCTATCAGTGATACCAGATTGTCTCAATGGATGAATCCATTTTACTACAAACTATTTTGGAGTGCAGTATGATACAATATCAACACAGGAAAAACAGAATATGTACTCACAGGAAGGAGTAGTCCCTTGCCTCTGGGAAAATTTTTTTAAAAATGTTTTTAAAAAGATTATTTTAGGAGAGGATGGCTCAGCAGTTAAGAATGCTTCCTGTAGAGGGTTTGTGGTCAGTTCCCAACATCCACATGGGGTGGCTCACAATTGCCTGTGTTTCAGAAGGTCAAGCACTATCTTCTGGCTTCCAAGGGTACTGGCATACATATGATACACATACATATACCCAAAACACTCACAGGCACACATAAAGACAAAGACATCTTTTTAAAAGGGAAATATTATTTTGTTATTATTAGGTTTTTGGTTGTTTTTGTTTGTTTGTTTTTAAGACAAGGTGTCACAATATAGCCCAGACTAACCAGGAACTCACTACATAGACCAAGCTAGCCTTGAATTCAAGGTGAGCCTTCAACACTGGCCTCCTGAGTACTACGAAACAGGTGTATACTACCAGTCCCAACTGAAAAGATGTTTTTAAACAACAGCAAAAAGGCATTCTGAAAACACTTCACTAAAATTCTTTTTTTTAATAATTTATTTATTTTTATTTTATGTGCATTGGTGTTTTGTCTGTGTGAGACTGCCAGATCTTGGAGTTACAGACAGTTGCGGACTGCTGTGTGGGTGCTGGGAATTGAATCCAGGTCCCCTGGAAGTGCAGTCAGTGCCCTTAACTGCTGAGCCATCTCTCCAGCCCCTTCATTAAAATTCTTAAAGCACACAGGGATGTGTTATCCAGTAGTTGGCAGAACGATCAAGAAGGCCTAACCACAGGGAAGGCTGTTCATTTGGTCAGTGGCTCTGCCTAACAATAGTTAGGAACAGCAGCTATCCCTTAGATACAGCAGGACTACTCTACAGGAAAGAACACTGAAAACATACCACAACAAAAATGGGAAGCAGACAGTCAAGAACTTCAAAATTTTCTGTCAGTAAACTTGGACCACCATATAAGATGTTCACATGGGGATAAAAGACAATGCTTGGACTAGTGATTTGCCTAAACTTTTCTTGGCTGTGAAATGAACAGTATGACAAGGTCTGATTTGTATTCTTTGCTACATTTTCTTCCAAGAGTTCCCAGCTTAATATTTTAGCTGCTACATCTTCCTATACAAACTAATTAAAGATCTTTTTGCCTCATGTATATAGAAAATTAGATTCACTCAAAGAGCCTGACAACTGCTAATTTTACTAGCAACCCCTAGGTCTAACAATAAGTAAATGGGCAGCATTCATTTCTGCAGATGTTACCTTGCAGGCATTTTGTGTAACTACAAAGACAGGCCTGGCGTACACTTGTTTAATGGTAATCCTCTGGGCTAGCAGGTATTCTGGACTTCCTGTAGCACAAGCTGGCACTCCTCCTGCTTTAGCCTCCCACACTAGGTGTGTGCTATGGTGCTTGGGTTGCTTCTTGTTGTTATTGTTTGGTTTGCAGCAGGTTATCATTACTAAGCAACTCCTACTTTGTACTTCTAACTTAAAGATAATGATTTGTTTTTATTTTTTTAACTGTCTACCCAGAGCCTTGTGAATGCTACATGGACTCCCTACCACTGAGCAACAGAGATCCCTTCCAAAAGTTCTGAGCTTAAGTGTATCAGAATGCAGCCACACTTGTCAAGATCCAGATTCCAGAGCCTTACCTCACTGACTGACTAGGCAAGTGTAAGCATAGGTCTCATGAGAGTCCATAATTTGCATTTCTGGTAAGTTCCCAGAACTTTCAAATATATTAACCATAAAATGCTGAAGGATGTGATGGAAAATTTTGAGGGGAAATTACTTAAAATAAGATGGCTTTCATAAAAATACCAGTAAGGTGATGATTTGAGACAGGTAAGGGTAACAGACTGACAATTTTGTTAGCTGGACCTGTTGGCACAGACCTGTAACTTCAACCACTGAGGAGAGGATACAAGTTCAAAGTCTACCTGACTATAGGTTGTGTTCAAAACAAGCCAGACAACTTAGTTTAAAAACAAAACAAACAAACAAACAACAAAAAAACAAACAAACAAACAAAAAAAAAACAAGCTGGGCAGTGGTGGCACATGCCTTTAATCCCAGCAGAGGCAGGCGGATCTCTGTGAATTCGAGGTCAGCCTGGTCTACAGGAGCTAGTTCCAGGACAGCCTCCAAAGCAGCAGAGAAACCCTGTCTCAAAAAAACCAAAACCAAACCAAAATAAAACAAAAAACAACCCCAAACAAAACAAAACTACAAAAGGAGGGCTGGGAATGTGCCTCAGTACACTTGCTGTGTGTGAGGCCCTAGGTTCAAAATTCCCAGTATTACACACACTCAAGTACTTGCACACGTACACACACACACACACACACACAGTAATTTAGCTTCTACTATTCTTCAATGTTTGGATACCCAATAAATAGCTTTAAATGTGCTTTAATATCAACCATTTAAAAATATAATAAGCTGGACTGTAGGGGCACACACCTTTAATTCCAGCACCTGGGAGGCAGAAGCAAGCAGGTCTCTGAGTTCAAGGCCAGCCTGGTCTACAGAGTGAGTTCCAGGGTAGCCACAGCTATATAGAGAAACCCTGTCTCAAAAAAACAATATAATATAATAAAGACAATTTCTTAGCCAATAGTTGTTTCTCTAAAAATGTCCACATACAAAGATTAAATTTATTTTGATCATTCTTTCTTAATTCTCTAAAGTGTCTCAATAGGATCCATAAATTCGAAATCACCATACTAAAACATTCTCAGGCACAATGGCAAGAAATGAGGTATTATTGGCAAATATAATGTTACATGGCACCCAGGTTTTACAGATTTGGAATACAACATATATAAATAGTTTATTCCAGTATACTCCTTTTCTTTGCCCCAAGGTAAAAATCTATCCTATAATTTATGATATTACTTTAAGAATAAAATGAACACCCACAAACACATTAAGCCCTGAGACATTACCAAAGGAGCTAGTTAGTATACCGAATTATCAAAGACTCGCTTACTCCCTAGAGTTTGCATGCAGTTTTTGTTTTTCCTTTTTATTACACCTTATATAAGTAAGTCCTCCCAGGACTGACTTTCTTTTTTCATTGGCTTTGAGATGATGCTTAGAGTTATACTTACTTCAATTTCATGTCAACATACTATTCTAGCCTCTGAACATTTAAGTTCCTAGCAGCTTCCCCCTCTATTTCTTTGCTATGATAATCTACTTATTTCCTGGTACAGATGTACAATTCCTCTTTGGCTCAAACCTAGGAATGGAACTGCTGAGGAAAGGGAATGCTTGCTTACTGTGGTGGTTTGAAAGAAAATGGCCAAAGGGAGCGGCACTATTAGGAGGTGTGCCCTTATTGGAGTAGGTGTGATCTTGTTGGAGAAAGTGTGTCACTGTGGAGGTCTCATATATGCTCAAGCCACACCCAAAGAGACAGAGCACTTTCTGTTGCCTACAGGTCATGTAGAATTCTTAGCTCTTTCTGCAGCACTATGTCTGTTTATATACCACCATTTCCCACCATGATGATAATGGACTGAGCCTCTGAACTATAAGTTACCCAATTAAATGTTTTCCTTTGTAAGAGTTGCTATGGTCATAGTGTCTCTTAACAGCAACAGTAACCCTAAGACACTTATACTCAACTTTATTAGGTAAGACCAAACTATGTTCAAAGTGACTATGCCAATTTACATTTCTAAAAGATTCCATACACAACAATTCATGTCTCTCTTCATTGTTTATTTTTAGTACTATCAGACTTTAGTTTTTGGCATTCTGGAATACATGAAATGGTATTTCACCATGGCTTTAATGTGTCATAATAATAATTATGACAAGGTTTCACATTGTTTTACATGTTTACCAATGGCATTCCTTTTTCTTTGGATAACCTATTGTTCATTTTCACAAAACACATCAACTTTTTTGTGTGTGGCATATGTGCTTGTTAGTATGGATGTATACTCATGCGCAGATACGCATGCACATGCATGTTAAGGCCAAAAGTTGATACGGGGTTTGCTTCCTTGATCTCTCCATCTTTTTATTTATTTATGAGACAGTCTCAACACAAAACAAAAGCCGGACCCTACTGAAGTTCAATGATTTGGCTACCCTGGCTGGCTAATGAGCTTCAGGGATCCGTCTTTCCACTCCCAAGCAGAGGGGGTAGGAGGATGCTTACTGGCACTCACCACCATTCCAGCTTTTTTATGTGTGTTCTAGGAATCGGAACTCAGAGCTTCACGCTTTGATGGGGCAGGGACTTTACC